TAAATTCGTTCAATTTTATTTCAATAATTCACTTGCGCTTAGGGTCTTTAGCAGTGGGAGGAAAGAGAAAGAGAGAAGGAGGGAGAGAGGGAGAGAGAGAGAGAATAATTGGTTTAACATCCACTCGACACAAACTAGGTCATTTCGGTACTAAATTCGTTCAATTTTATTTCAATAATTCACTTGCGCTTAGGGTCTTTAGCAGTGGGAGGAAACTGGAGGACCTGGAGCAAACCCACGAGGTTGGACAGGCGCCCCTACTCCTTGTCACGTACAACGAGGGAAAGTATCAGAAGTAGTACAGTTCTTGTACATGGTTGTAGTCAATGGAACTAAACATCACCACTACAGTTAAGAAATAAGATTTTTTGTGAATGAGGTCCCTTTAACATCTCTTTAACCATGCTTAGTTAAAGTAACATCTCTATATGTACCAATTAGAATACAACAAATCGTATACAATATTAAATCACCTACATGTACAGTGAAGACCCTAGGTTTTTTGTGAATAAAGTCTCTTTAAAATCTCTATAAGTTAGCCATGTATAGTTATAAAGTAGCGTCTCTATGCCAAGCAATTAAAATACAACAACTCATAATACAATATTAAAGTAGCTAATTCTCTAACTCAGTATCGTCCAAAGTCTTTGACATTAAAACCACAATATTATCTGAGATTTCAAATCAACATTGATGTTGTAATCTTACCGGGATATCCAATATTTAAGACAAAATAAACATTTTACCATTGGTATACGAATCGTGTACCATAATGCGTCTCAGCGTCATTTATAACAAGAGACTCGAAGAACGGAGCTAGACATATTCCACAAGTCATGTCAAACGGTGACGTCATATTATTTCTTATCTGGTAAGCATTTGCAATAAATACTATCGGTGTAGACTGGAATAACAAGACGCTAAAGACTGCCATTTGATTGAGACTTTTGGCATATTTGAAATCAGAGTATAAACAGAAATGATTGAATGTAAATCATTATTATATGCGTTGTGACCCATTTGTGTCAATTTCTAGGTCCCAAATATTAGCGATTTAGCTCCTTTAAAACACCTACAGTTAAAACCTAGTTTTTTTTGTGAATGAGGTCTCTTTAACATCTCTATGTACAAGCAATTGAAATACAGCACATCATATACAGTTATACAACAAGTTGGGACTCCAATTCACACATCATCTTCATCGCAAGTAAATATTGACAACAACTTTCTTTTTTTAACATTTCTAATATGTTTTCTTCTCTCGACACATGACACTCTTCAAATATGGCATCATAGATTATAACAGAGAAATATTTTAAAAGGTATTTGAAAATTCCAAAGGAAAATATTTTGTTAATGTTTTGGGACGCTGTTGAAGAAAGCCGTGAATGAGATGTTATATCACATAGATAAAAGAAAGATTGGGTAAAAAACAGTTGTTATTGTGTAGAAAGTGAATTTATAAATCCACCCCTCCTATTATAAAAAAACTTGGGTTCTATTCATCAAGAATGTTGACAAAGATATAAACTAGTATATATGAACTATGTTTATAAGTAATAACTTTTGTGTCATATTACACACAGAGAGAGACAGAGAGAGAGAGAGAGAGAAATGGGGTTTAACATCCAATCGACACAAACTAGGTAATTTCGGGACTAACATATGGTTTTAATTTTATTTCAATAATTCGCTTGCTCGTCATATTACAGGACATTGAAAATAAGACAGTTCTTTTAAAACATAAAATCTTTATTCTGAATGTGACTATGAAATGAAATGGGATTTGACATCCTATTTTCCTGCACAAACCTTGCTTACAAATATGAGCAATACACCATGTCATTTGTTCTGAGATAAATTTTGGCCCGAATTACTGTTAAGGGTTCTTTTACGAACACACCAATAGGTAGACCTTGGTATTTTGTACCATCCATAGTGCCGCTGTTTGAGCAAGATTTCCCTCATAGCACACCGTATGGCTGTCTTCATTAGCCCAGTAGGAGCAGAACAGTAGGACATTAAACCTGCATTTCATTTCATTAGTATCATCCAAACCAATACCAGTAGATGCTTTTTCCTTGCTTGCCTGATCCTCCACCCTCTACCAATGACAAGTGGAAACCAGCTCCTAGGTCAAAACTGGGATGAACTCTGAGCCATCACCGAGCCATCGTTTAACTCCACTCGACACAAACTAGGCCATTTCGGGACTAACATATGGTTTTAAATTTTTATTTCAATAACTCACTGGTGCGTAGGGGTCTTTTGCAGTGGGAGGACACCGAAGGACCCGGAGAGAACCCATGCCAGTTGACTCAATGACAGGTCTTATGATACAGAGTGCACATGCTAACCATTCGGCCATCGAACCCCCAGTCCTGGATAGAAAATATCATCGTAAATACCAAGTCTCGTGCTTTCCAGCTAAAATGTCTACCTGTGGAGGTCGCCATATTTGATTTGAATGTGTTTGTGTCACAACATCTGATTGGACAACGTTATTGTTCACGTGTCTGCATACCTATAAGTTTGGAAATTTCTGACTAATCTAGCAACGTCTACATATCATAAAACTCATGGCCATTGCTTCAGGAACATGACTTAATATAGAGATATCAAGATGCATATCATTATTCAATTTTAGTACTTGATTTTTAAAATACCCCCAAAAATATTTGAAGATATTTCTTGTAGTTATTACTCAGAGATTCATAGTCATGCGGATACAGTAGAATTCCTTTCTAAAAAAGAAATCCTCTCAATAAAACAGAATTATATGTTTTCCATAAATTAACATGAATTCTTAAAGGGCCAATCTCGATGACATTTTGGGGACTAAAACTGCTTAATTTTGTGTTAAAACCCTTAAAATCCTCTACGTTAGGGTCGAGCAACTAACTCAATATACGTGATAAGTTTTCAAACAACTTAAACCCGTCAGTCTTCATCTGAAAATGGAGACTGATGTCTCAAGTGGTATTATATGGTGTCTGGATAAAACCAGACTTTTATTTTATAAAAAAAAACGTGTAGCGTGTTTTCACCTCTATATATTGGAACTGTAATAGATTATCAAGTCATCCAACGAAAAAATTGACGCAAAATCTTCAAAGGGTTATGTGTCCGGATAAGCGGTTTTGAAGTTCACGTCCAAATGACTCGATATATTGAGCTGAAATTTTCAGACAAGGTAAATACACCATTCCTCTATATTTTGGTGTTTAAATTCCATACGTACACAAACTTATGGGTGGTCCCTTTAAAATAACATTCAGATAGTTTCATCATTTTTTCTCGCTTTTAATCAAATTGTCTGTCTAAATTTGTCAGTTTTACCTTGTAATAACATGCATGGATAATCATCCATGTCATGAGTAGATGACATCATTCGAGTCAATATCATCCATTTTAATCATTAATTTTGTTGTATTTTTTCAGAGGGTTGACATATTATTGACATTATCAGTTGGGTCTAAGAACTAGTATTTTTTTTTATTAAACATCACCTCTAACATGAAATTTTCTGGTTTATATAAATGACGCTAGGACGTATGAAACCAACAATGGCTAGAGCAATAAGTGTTGATTTTATTGAACACAAGTTACGAGAGTATTTATATTGAAAATATTACATAAGGTTGTTCGGTGCATTTCACTTTTTAATTCCGCACTGAAATTCAGATTTCTGGTAGCAATTTTAACAACAGGTGAGATCAGACCAGGTGAACTTTGCTGGTATTTATTAAAATTATATCACCGTGGTGATTAAATTGATTTTTATCAAACTGAAATGAAATTGTTAACGACTTACTTTTCTGCATCAACTGGGCTAATTTGTATCAAAACTGGGATTATACTTAATAATATTGCCCTCTTGATTTTGACACAATATTTAAATCTGAAAAGGGGGAGGGGGGGAGACTCAAGACTAGAGAGAAGGAGTAGCCTTTCAAAAACATTTAAACCAAATTAACAATACTTATACTTATACATATAAATCATACATATTTGTTGACACCCCTCAATGTTGCCAAAACCTCCTAACCATTTGATCAAGAAAAAACAATCGTTCCCTCAGTCAAGGTAGCACGCAATAACCTGGCAATAACAGTCGGGTTGCCAGTTAGTGCTACCCTGACATTTTTTGCCCAGTGCTTGCCCCATGGTTTTTTTTATGGGTAATACAGCAATTTTCTAGTAAGATTGGGTGTCTACACTTTCCAAATATATCAAATTTGCCATACATTTATAGGAAATAACCACCTGATAAATACTTTCGGGACAATGTATCTTTTTAAATGTCATTTGGCCACAATGTGATGAGTTGAATTGCCAGCAAGCAATACAATAACTTAAACTCATAAATATCCACGACCACTGCACTCAAAGAGTGTTCTTTGTACCAAGACAATCGGTTAGATCTGATTTTGGCTGCAATGTATGTGGAAAATTATGAATTTAGTTGAGGTGCCGACTAGCGACATAAGAACTATATGTCATATTCAACCACAAACAATCTAATCTGTGTGTTTTGTTTTAATCCAAGAATAGCAATGAATTAAAGTTAAGGGGCTGGCTAGCAATCCAACCCAACTAAACCAATCTATGGCCACAGGTGAAAAAATACATAAATTATAAATCATATAACAAGTTTGGCTGCAATACCAAGATGAGGAAACAAATATGATGGGGGCATGAAATAGATAGAAAACAATCAGAACTTTAAAAAAAATTTTAATTTTCTATAATGATGAAATGAAATGGGGGTTTAATGTCCTATTGTTCTGCTCCGGCTGGGCTAATGATGATGGGCATACACCATGCAGTATGCTATGAGGGAAATTCTGCCCAGACAGCTGCACTACGGCCTACTCATATCTAATTACAACTGCCAATGGATCTATTTCGTGCACGCCAAGGTATGCACGGGACCTCGGTTTTTCATCCCATCCCATAATTTTTTATAATGATCAAAATTAAACTAATAATTTACTTACAGTGAATGAAGACTTGATTACAACTGTATTAATTGATGCATTATTAACAGATCTTCTGTAACCTCTACATTTTATTGATTCATAACTGAAATGGATAAAAAAAGAAAGTTTTATCACAAATTTATGGAAGTATTTACTAGACGCTAAAAACTGATGAAGAGTAACAAACCATATGAAGTAACAATTTTTTTTAAAGTACTTAGATAAATATTAAAAAGAACATGTGAGGTGCAGCCACCGAGAGAGAGAGAGAGAGAGAGAGAGAGAGAGAGGGGGGGAGAGAGAGAGAGAGAGAGAGGGGGGAGAGAGAGAGAGAGGGGGAGAGAGAGAGAGAGAGAGAGAGATTACAAGTTACTTAAAGGAATTATTTCAGCCATGTTTCAACCAGGGTTGTCCCATCTTCATCAAGCTTGATACATGTAAAGACAGGAGAACCCTAGTCCAATCTGTTTAAAACACAGATCCTATTTCGTTTCGTTTTTTATAGTTCAAAATTTCGTTTTACTTGTCTTACTACACTAGGATCTGGAAGAGTTGTTATATAACCTGTGTTCTAGATGGCGTTAGGGATTAGCCAATGAAACGGTCTGTTACGGCGACTTCTTGGCGTACTCTGCATGGAACTGTGGGTAATCCATTAGAAACATCTATGCTGATTGGTTAATCAAATTTCTGACGTCATAGGGTCAAAAGCTGCTCATATGACGTCTGACGGGACCTATCGCTACAACTTGTCAGATCTTCATGTAGTGTAGGCCATCGAAGTATAAAAAAAACGAAATGAAATATACATGCAGATTAAGCCTCGTCGAAACTTCACTGAAATAAAATTTAAAAACTCTTAAACGGTATCATTTTGTTAGATTCATTAAGGTTAGTGCCACTATCTGATTAAAATAAGATCTATATTTCATATGAGTGGCTTTTGCCCTATGACATCAGACATTTGATTAACCAATCAGTGTTGATGTTTAAAGTGGGATACCCACAGTTCCGAGTACCGCATATCAAGAATTAGCCGAAACAGGCCGTTTCATTGCCGAATCCCTCACATCAACCAGAACGTCTGTTATATAACAACTCTTCCAGATCCTAGTTAAGTAAAGACAAGTAAAACGAAATTTTGAACTATAAAAAAAGAAACGAAATAGGATCTGTGTTTTAATCAGATTGCAAACTTAGCAAATAGTCAACAGTATCGGTTTCAATGTTTTCAGATGGTTGCTGGCCTATGAGAAAGAATTAACGCCATTAGTCACATATTAATAATTTGTAAGATTTGAAGGGATTACTTTAAAATATCCTGGATTATATGACAGATTAAATTGTACAGCTGGTAAAGAAATAAAAAGATTAGATATAACATGTATACGTCTAGATTTACAGATACGAAGATCTCAAAAGGTAAGATGAGACAAATATGTACCGAACTTGTGAAAAATTACATACCTCCACTCATAAACCACACAATAACAAGTCTTTCTCCCAAAAACTTATACCGTCAGAATAGACGACCAACGAAAGAAATGACATACCCCTACTCAAAACCACACAATAACGAGTCTCACACAAAAACTTATTCTGTCAGTTAGGACAATATTCTCAACATGAAGCATCACTCGATAGAAACATATTTCAATAGACAATTTATGCTTTAGTCTACTTTTATTTTACATCCTTAGAACTGATACTTGTCTGATTATGATGAGTATTATTTCTTATTTCTATACAATAATGTCGGAGGAAAAAAAGGTAGAATGATCCATTTGAAGGGAAAATTATAGCTCTTCATGTATCATTAAGTTAAGCATACCTCTTTCAGCACACAGAGAGTCTTAAATTCTATACAAAAAGCTAGCTAATAGTAATAATTTCAAGAAACTGTATAATTTTAAACTGAACAAGGTACAAATTATGGATCTGAATTTTAAAAAACTTGTGTAACAAAAGTTTTAAAGGTATTTTTTACAATGAGATTGTATAATTATCATATTTTTAAGAAGTCTATACGAGTTTTAGTAAATAATATGCTGTTTGGAAGTTTACTGGTAAGTTGGTTTAAAATGAAGATGACAGTTAAACATACATTATGCAAGAGCTAAATCTGTCTCTTGCAGGTCTTTCTTTAGGCCTGAAATGTTAATTAGACATTAATCAACTTATCCAGACCATAATCAACTCTTGAAGCCATCGCTAGCCTGCGGTATTTAGTGGATTGGAATACATTTTTTGAAAAATAATTAAACGTAAAAATGGATAATCGAGACTTTGTTTTTTTATCGTACCGACTTTAGTAATGATGATCGAGGCTAGCCAAAATTCAAAAGCTAATATCTCGGTCAGAGTGGAGCAATTTGAATGAAATTTTTTATTTAGCATATTCTTTTTACGTCATCTATTTTTCAACTATTATAGCGACAACTTTCAACTCTTTATCTAATCTCCTTTAAAGTGGATGTACATGTAGAAGGTCAACTGAAAGAAAACAGAGTTTAACGTCCTACTTTTCTGCCCTGACGGGGCTAATAAAGACAGGAATCTAAAAGGTACATGTAGACAAATAAAAAAGCTTTCAAAACCCAGCTTTTACGAACAACCAATCTGTAACAGAACCTCGTTTTTCGTACCATCCGAATGACTAGACAAACACATTCTTTATCAGTCCTGCGAATCTCACCACTTGAGAACTCGGCTTGAAACAATCCTTTATCTTGGGATTCAAACTAAGACATTCTGGGGCCTGTTTCACGAAATTTTAACTAAGATAAAATCCAAATTTTAGTAATTTGATTGGATAATATTAGATTGATTTTAGTGCTTAGCTAATCAAAATTGAAGTATGTACTAAAATTTGGATTTTATCTTTAGTTAAGATTTCGAGAAACAAGGCCCACATTTTGAGTCAAGTGCCCAAATCACTGCGGGTCTCTTAAAGCAAGGTGTACTGAACTATACACTGACTCTGTGTTTGGTGTATTATTGCATTTTGAATGTCAAAAGATTATACATGTATTTTTATTTTCTCAACAAAGAGTCGACACCCTAGTCAGTTCATAGTCAATATCTAATACACCTAAAGTGCATCTGATCCAACATTGTGTTTGAATTTTATCTTTTATTAAAAACATTTACATCAACACAGCAATTCTATATACATGTAGTTTATTTCAATGAAAGTATCCCCCTCGCCACATTTCTGACAACCTGCTGGGATCGCCATAATAATAGCAATAACACAGTTAAACAAAAGAAACTATAACTTTTGACATCACACTGAGAAAAACAGTTCGTAGTCACAAAAACCCTTTTCTGTACCCTTTGAAATTTTACTCGACCATGAATATCAGAAAAAAAAATGTGAGCAATTTTGTCATACCAAACTTAGGCTGACTGTCTACAGTCAGCTTCGCTTGAGAACAGACACTTAGTTAGTAGACCGACATTTTAAGTCCTAAATCAAGGATTTTATAGTCGAAAATACAAAGTTTACTTCGAGAATTTTGTTAAGTATTTATTCTGCTTTCGTTTAATAAAATTTAAACGGATTAGAGAGAGAGAGAGAAATGGGGTTTAACGTCCACTCGACACAAACTAGGTCATTTCGGGACTTACATATGGTTTAATTTTATTTCAATAATTCACTTGCACGTAGGGGTCTTTAGCAGTGGGGGGAAACCGGAGGACCCGAAGAAAACCCACGAGGTTGGACAGGCGACCCTACTCCTTGTCACGTACAACCGGAGATTCGAAACCAGAAACGGATTAGAACCGCATTACAAAACATTACATTAATTTTTAGATATGGTGGCCATTTAGGACAGAGATCTATTCTCGAAGTATGAAGTAGATGGTGCTCTGTGTGTAGAATGCAATTTTGTAGTGTGAGGAAATCCTACAAAAGATGATGTCAAATGTTTTTCATGTACTATTAAAATCTGATTTTATTTTTTATTTTCAATGGATGATCATCTGAAATCTTGAAAATAGTTTTTGGAATATGTATCATGGCAGTGCAAATGGAGACAAGTCAACATCGGAATTCTCAATGTAGTAAATTATTTCTTCGCATTCATTTACCAACTAGGGGATGATTTTTTTTTGACAAAATATTTGGAGGTTTCATTTTTTGTTAATTCAAATAAAGGAAAAACAACAATTATTAGAGTACAACTTATAAATATTTTTGGTATTAACCTTTTTGCACTTGGAATGTGTGCAGTTATTAGAGCTCTGTGCTAGTTAATGGATTCAAACCGATAGACAGACAGTGCATCTCAAAGGCAGCTCTGATACAATCAAAATGGATTCACATTGAAGACCAGGCAAAACAGATTTCAAAATTTTGTAATTTGACTTTCAGTACGTTAACTTTGATCTTACACTATTTGTTTCCAGAAAATACTTCACAATTCTACTGTCAATCTGTTTTTTAATCAAACATAACTTATTTCCAGTAAATTTCAGAATGTTTCTACCGTGGCTCTAATTTGCACACCTTTGTTATTATTGACCATATAGAGAGAAATGGGGTTTAACGTCCACTAGGTCATTTCGGGACTGGAGGACCCGGAGAAAACACACGAGGTTGAACAGGCGACCCTACTCCTTGTCACGTATCACCTGAGAATCGAAACCACGCCAGTTGACTCAATGACAGACTTTATGATACAATGTGCACACACTAACCATTCGGCCATCCAACCCTGTGACGATAAAGAATCTGGGGAGTAATACAAAACCACACCAGTTGACTCAATGACAGACTTTATGATACAACGTCCACGTGCTAACCATTCGGCCATCCAACCCTGTGACCATAAAGAATCTGGGTACTAATAAAAATACAAGAGGTAATCAATCTAAAGAAAGAGTCCACGAAACAAAGGGTAAAATCATGTTAATATTAATTGGGCTTTATCCAAAATTCCAGGATGGACTCTCTTCAATTTTCACAAAGCCATAATCTGTCGTTGTTTACAGGATAAGTTAGTTGTTTACGGAAGATGAACCAAGGATAAACTTGTTGACATGAACAATGTAAATTTACACAGGTAGAGAATTAATCCTACACACAAAAAGCTTGATTTAACACACGAACAAAATGTGTTTGTATTGAAGTGACGTGTAAAATAAAGAAATACATTAGTTATATAATATCATTGTTACGTGTTATCTCCTTCACAGTGCTGTACATTGTCACACGAGGAACAAAAGGGAGTGTGTCAGGGATAGCAACACCACGCTACCTGACCATCACAATCATAAAATAAAATGGAGACTTTCAGGATTGTCACAGGAAGAGAGAGAGAGAGGAGAGAGAAATGGGGTTTAATGTCCACTCGACACAAACTAGGTCATTTCGGGACTAACATATGGTTTAATTTTATTTCAATAATTTGCTTGCGCGTTGGGGTCTTTTAGCAGTGAAAGGAAACCAGAGGATCTGGAGAAAACCCACGAGGTTGGACAAGAGACCCTACTCCTTGTCATGTACAACAAAGGAATTGAAACCACGCCAGATGACTCAATGACAGGCCTAATGAATGATACAATGTGCACGCTCTAAAGATTCGGCCATCCACCCTGCTCTTCCAGTAAGCTTACAGGGATAGCAACACAACGCAAACTTATCATTGCAATCGTGAAGTAAAATGGGCCTTAACTTAACTTCTTAAGTGTTTGCACAAACTGGGCTAATGAAGATGGGCATACGCTCTGAGGCAAATTTTGCCCAGATGGCAGTATTAAGGCCCAAGGGCAAACCAGTTTGATGCAAAGGTCTTTCATAATTCAACTGCTTCACAGTCATAACTATTGACAAATTAAAATGGTCTGAGTATGCTGTCCCTATGTATTGTTCAGAGACAAGAAACTACAAAGGGATCCATAGTAGGGGTGCACAAACTACACTTATTCTTGCGATGTGACAACTGGGACAATGAAGGTGAGTTGTGGGGAAAGGTGAATCAAGCTAGTTTCGTTTCCTCCTCATGTCACGTATTCTTCACTGCAATGGTGGGGCCAAAGTAATCAGTAATCACTTATTCCAAGGGTCCAGAGCTAGCCAGTCTGCCAATAGAATGTAGCACAGATCAATTTTTAAATAGTATAAATCAAGCACCTACATTTACATACAATAATACTATATAAAGAAGGGGGTTGGATGGCCGAATGGTTAGCATGTGCGCGCGGTATCATAAAGTCTGTCATTAAGTCTACTGGCGTGGTTTCGATTCCCCGGTTGTATGTGACAAGGAGTAAGGTCACCTGTCCAACCTTGTGGGTTTTCTCTGGGTCCTCCGGTTTCCTCCCACTGCTAAAGACCCCTACGTGCAAGCGAATCATTGAAATAAAAATTGAACCATGTGTTAGTCCCGAAATGACCTAGTTTGTGTCTTGTGGGCGTTAAACCACATCTCTCTCCCTATATAAAGTATATCCAAATGTTCATGGACCAATAAATGGCTTTGTGTATATCAAGGGAGATAACTCCATTTTAACAGAGAAAATACACACCCAGTACTAGACCTACTATTCAGCCAAAATTAAATTATTATAATAAACACTTTAAAACATTGTGTATTAAGTATATTCTATTGTATGTATGTTCATGGTAAGTTATTATGGAATACACTATGGCACATAAACCCACAAACATTGATCCTTCATAATTCACACTACAAGGCATGGTTTACATGTATGTACCTATATTTACAGTGAGTTATAGGTTCACAGATGTGTATATTTGTAAATTATATTATGTCTCATGTCTTCTGGGTTTCTTGCTAATTGTAAATATAAATTAATAAATCTAGCATAAAATGTATATTGAACTGTCTATACCCCATAATATTGTTTCATACTTATATGAATGTAAATATTATATTGTAGTATATTACCTATTGTATATATTATCTAATGGTGACTTATGTATATATAGATTGTAAATATCCAGGCCACAAAAATATAAAGTAAAAAAAATATTGTAATCTACCTACTGTATAGTATTAGTAATGACAGTAATGGTACTGTAAAAAAAAAAAAATTAAAACAAAATTGGTTAATTCTTTCGTAATACATTATCAGTTGTTAAATTTAATTTTCTTCCTTTTAGAAGTGAACCCAAAATATCTGTATTTTCGGGCCACCTATCAAAATGTGCCTTAGTGCCAGCAGAGCCTTAATCCAGTCTGGTTTACTTTAAGTTTTGCATAGCCTGATAGTGCTATGGAATAATAGCATTGGTCATTGTTTTGAAAAATGTTAAATCATTTTTGACGCAATTGCAGTTGTTGTTATGAAGTGCATGCAATCTGTGGTTAATAATATTCTATTTAGGACCATAGCAACAAAATTTCAAGAGCCTAAGACTAAGAGGTTACCAGTAGTCGAGTTTGGTGGGGGGTTTATTTCTACATTTTTCTGTGTTTGTTTACATTTCATATTGGGGGATAAAAGCAATTTCTGGTGTGTATTAAGAATCTGACTGATTAGTGAAAGGATATACTCTATTTTAAGGAAGTAGGATACACATAATGGGGCAACACAAGATCAGGTTGGCCTACCCTACCTCAACAAAATGTCAACTGCAATGAATATAAACAAACACAATACAATCACAATGCATGAATGGAATGGAAGACTTTGTTACTATATTTAATCAACACGTCAACACATTTTTTTGAAAACACTCCGACATTTTACACATAATTCTGAATAGATCTATATTCTATTAGTTTTATTTTATAGTTTGGATATTCTCTTTCTTATAATACTAGTCTTACAGTTACAGGAACCATTTCCTTCACACCTCAGTCGGTATGGCATTACCACTACCAGTACCACAGTGCTGGTCGAGCAAAGATGAAATCTTTCCACAGGAGGAAGTATTACCAGTCATAACCTATCTGGGAACACAGTAATTATTGTATTACCAATATTTTGTTTGAAAATTCTTACACAGCTTCATAACAATATGACAAGTTACGTCTCATTGGGCTTTACAAGTGTATAATAAATACTGACCTATTTTACCTCCGACCACTGTCACGATGAGACTGTTTACGTGTGATTTGCACATACGGTTGAAAATATAGTTTAACCAAGAACGGATTATCAAAAACTATATTGCTCACTAAACTTATTCTAAGAAGTAATAAATATCTTCAATTGTAATTTTCTATTTCACCATGTCGAAAAAGTTCGAGTTAGATACAGAAAAATGAATTTGATTATTCATTCTTCCACGCACCTATTCCTACGCGAACTCTTCCGCTTGGATCGCAAGATGAACTGTTTCCATCACTCTCTCCATATGAAAATGGTATGTTTTTTTGCTGGGAAATGATTTCTTTTGTGATATAACGATGTATTATTTCTGACACATTATCATCAAATAAATGAGGATGAATTTCAAGCCAGTTAAAGCTGAATAATTTCAATATTTGTGCAGTTGATTTTTGAGCTCAATATTTTGTTCCTCCATTTTGACTATGGCGGTTCGTCTCTCTGTGTAGGAGAAGAAACGGCCTTCAAACGATATAACATGTTCTCTGCCAAACGTTGCTAGAATACAGTTTGCATCAGAATTTACGTTACCAACTTCTATGTGTGGTTTTTAATCATAAAAACTCTTTATAGAAAGGGATAAAAGGCAAATGGTAAAAACGAAAGAAAAGAATATTGACTTGTCACATTCATTAGCCTATGGCTATAGTATGCATAAACATGAGCCTTCTAATTTCTGGGCTCTCACAGATAATTAATTTATCTTTTAATTTATTTATTTATTTTTTTATTTTTAAGGTGATCAGTGTTTTTAATCGACTTACGGTCAGCAAAAGGCTTCTATGGCCTACATTAACATAGGCTGTAGGCTAATGTAAGGATAAGGAGATAAATGCATGAAAAACACCAAATCCTGTATTCTTACTTTAAAATATGGATCACTTAATATTCCCCAATTTTTATTCAACTTTTATTTTAAGGGCACTGATAAGATATTTTTTCTATTTTCAAACTGAGGATTTTTACAGACTTGGGTAGTTAGTCTGTGTTTTTTCAATCAAACTATTAAATAGAAATTTTTGGTTTTAAGTCTCCAAAAGTTAACTTAAATTTCTCAATATCTGCAACTTGGAATATTCTTAAAATATCTAAAATTTTTTTCTTTTTTGGTGAAATACATGAACAGTTCAAATTGAATGGCAGTCGTTTACATCTGATTAGTGCATTCTACACATTTTTCAAATTATTATTTTGTTGTTTGTGAATCAGCTTTACTAATTACTTCCACATTGTGTTGTAGGATATGTTTTTATTTGTCCATTACAGAATGTCACCGGAAACCATAGGGTACACAACTCGCGTACTGATTATAATATGTTAATTGTGTCTTAAATATTGGATATTAGGATCTTATAGTTTCATGGCAAGATAACAAAATCAATATTTATTGAAATTGATCAATATTGAATACTAATTTGTGTTTTTAATTTCGAAGATTATGGAAAATATTAATTTAAAAACTGAGCTAGCTCCTTTAAAGCTTAGTGAAAGGAGTTAAAATTGGTGCCGATTTTCAGACATGCAGAAGAGCCACCATTCACATAAATAGAGTCTGTGGTGACACTAAAACATAAAAGCCCTGTTAATGGTTGGGGGGTTGGATGTCCAAATGGTTAGCGTATGCATGTTGTATCATAAGGTCTATCATTGAATCAACTGGCATGGTTTTCGATACCCTGGTTGTACATGACAAGGAGTAGGATCGCCTGTCCATCCTCGTGGGTTTTCTCCCGATACTCCGGTTTCCTCCTACTGCTAAAGACCCCTACGCATAACCGAATTATTGAACAAAAATTGAACCATACATGTATGTTAGTCCCGATTTGACCTAGTTTGTGTGAAGTGGATGTTAAACCCTATTTCTCTCTCTCTCTCTCTCTCTCTCTCTCTCTCTCTCTTTCTCTTGTTGAATCTGATACCATGCCTAATCTAGCTCCCCATCTCTTGTACCAAGCTACAACTCTACTTGTCACCAATTTTCAAAATTTATGCATTCGGGTTGCATAGAATTGTTATAAAATAATGTTTTTCATAAAGCACATTATTTAAAGATACATTATCGGAGATTAGATAAAGAGCTGGCAGTTCTCACTATAATAGATAACTAGATAATGTAAAGGGTATTTGCTGAAAATTTCAGTCAAATTGATCCACTCTGAACCGAGAATTTGGCGATTGAATTTACAGCCTAGCCTCAATCATCATTACTAAAGTCGGTACGATAAAAAAAACATAGTCTTGATTATCCATTTCATGATTTAATCATGAATGAAAGTTGAGCAGCAAATTGGTTCCTAATCAGTTAATATCGCAGGCTAGCGATGACATCGAGTGTTGATTATGGTCTGGATAAGTTAATTAATGTCTAATTAATAATTTATATAACATTTCAGGCCTAAAGAAAGACCGGCAATAGGCAGATTTAGCTCTTGCATATTGTATGTTTAATTTTTCGATATCTTTATTTCAGTGCCCATTAAGAGACCAATTGAATTTAGAGAATTAATAAATAGAAAGATGTCTAATAATCAATCATCACCAAGAGTCCATGGACTACCTTCAGCACACATGGATCCATTCTTCCAGCAGCAACTACATCCTGGGAACCCCTTTGAGAGGTTTCCAATACCATATAATCAGGGTTTAACATCCCCATTTACAAACTTTCCCAATACTTCGTATGGGACACTAGTTCCCCAGAGACAGCCTATATCTTCCAACACATTACCAGGTATTGGTAACTTTACAGATCCCCTAGTTTTTATGCCGTATTCCGGACATTCTGGATCGGCGCATTCCATAGACAGGAGGGAAAGACTACCAGAATTTAATTCTATTGTTACATCATCAGTTGATAATACTAATACATCAAGAAATTATTCACATCCAGACGATGATAAAGATGTCCTTTCTAATGGAGACAATGTTTCAAATTTTTATATTGGCACGAGGTCTAATAATGGAATGTCTCAAGGTGGTAAACTGTTGCAGCATGAGAGAACTCCTCCAATTTCATCTCCAAATGTACCTCGATCTGCCATACCTCAAAATCAAAGTCCAACAACAGCTCAACAATCTTTTGCTACATCGCAACATTCCCAGGACTATCACCAGACTCATCTACAGAGAATTACACCCAACAGCAGCAATCAGCAAACCCATCGTCGAGAATCTAACAATACCCAAAATATTTATTCAAATTCAAATATTCCATCTGCACTGCCTAATGTTGCAACTCCAAAAGAACACAGTTATAACAAACGAAATATGGAAATAAATTCAACAATGGACTTGTCACAGAAAGATCATTCCAGAGGAAATATGGCAAAACGTGGAAAAAACAATGAATGTGTTAAGACAAAAAAATACTATGGTGAATTTTCAAAAGTGAAAAATATCAAACCTACAGTTTTGTTTTCTTTGCTAGGACGACTAGAAATTGGGGACAACCACTCAAATAAGTCGGAAGTTGAAACATCGAACACTGCTGTTCAAACGGATTCCAAAATGGCAAAGAACCAAGATGAATCAAAGATGTCTTCGATCACAGATACATCACAGAGTTGCATGGAGATGGAGTCAGATGAAGATAATCTTGAAACCTTTAATATCCTCACTGCTGCTGATGTGGATGAATACCAAAATTCTTTCGCAAATAAAAACAAAAAGACACTACTCAAGTGTGAAAGAGCACACTCGGATATCAATCGCAGGAAAAGACGGAACATTTCTGGTAGATCGAACAATGTTGAATTATCGGAAATTAATCTTACCCCAGACAAGATTAAAACTGAAGAAACAGAGTGTAATGAAAATGATCATTCCCTGAGCAAGACATCTAAAGATACATCCCCAAAACAAACTCGGAAACCAGGAACGACAAATCTGGATCCTGGATTGTTTCCCTCCTTGCCAATATCTGCCTTTAAAGGAAAAGATAAAGATGCTGAAATGGAAAGAATGGAGATAAATATTAGAATTGATGATTCTCAGTATGTCACTGTTGGTGGTGATGGTCCGAAACGCTGGCAGTGTAATGTGTGTACCAAATCTTATACGACCAAGCATAATTTAGTAACCCATGTTTTAGATCATAATGGCATTAAACCTCACCTGTGTATGATTTGTGGAAAATATTTCAAACAATTAAGTCATTTAAATACACACATGTTAACGCACGATAACGTTAAACCTCACATCTGTCCTGTTTGTGGGAAAGGTTTCACGCAAGTCAGTCATTTAAAGCGTCATCAAGCTGTTCACCTGGATAGCAAGCCCCATGTATGCGATATCTGTAACCGTGGTTTCGCGTACCCAAGCGAACTTCGCTTACATAAAGCTAAGCACATTCCAGGTAAAGATAAATGTATAGATTGCGATGAAGATTTTGGAAGTCCTAAATTACTTAAAGAACACATGGTAACCCATGACAACAGAGAAGATCACGAATGTCCGGAATGTCAGCGTTTGTTCCGTTATCCGAGTCAACTTAAAGATCATTTAACATCGCATTCTGGGTATCGACCATTCATCTGTGCTGAGTGTGGGATGGATTTTATTAAGGTAGGCTACTGGATCATTGAACCCTTTCATTCTCCATAGGAGGTGGGGAGGTTGGATGGCTGAATGGTTAGCGCATGTGCATTGTATCATAAGGTCTGTCATTGAGTCAACTGGCGTGGTTTCGATTCCCCGGTTCTACATGACAAGGAGTAGGGTCGCCTGTCCAATCTCGTAGATTTCTCCGGGTCCTCTGCTTTCCTCCCACTGCTAAAGACCCCTACGCGCATATTGGATTACTGAAATAAAATTGAACCATGTGTTAGTCCCAAAATGACCTAGTTTGTGTTGAGTGGACATTAAACCCCATCTCTCTCTCTCTCTCTCTCTCTCTCTCTCTCTCTTTCTGCACACAGAGATCTGTCTACTTCATCCTTCGAGAATAAATATCTGCCCTAAATGGCTGCCATAATCAAAAATTGGTATATTGTTTTGTAATGTGGTTCTACTCCATTTCACATCTGTCATAATATACACATTGGGGATGCTCGACTGTCAGTCCAGAACGTTCCTAATTGACGGAATCGCAATCGATTGACGCAGGATTCAGTCCTGTCACAGTTCTGTCAGTCTCGACAACGAAGGTGGTGTGAGTAGAATCGTGAAGTTATTAAACCTAATGAAAATGTTTCAGCTGTTATGGTTGGTTGAGATATTTTCTCATGCAGTCAGCGCATGCGATCTAGCCCGAAATCCCATTTTCACTCTATTGTCACTATTGTCAGGATTGGAGGGGGGCATAAGGGGTGCTTATGAACCCTAAACACCTCTATCTTGTAGTTACTGGACAGATTTGAAGTTCTGCTGTGAATTAGATTCACAGATACTGTCCCCAATATATATCAGCTTTACAATGAAACCCAACTGTACTGAAAATGTAGAAAATTAAAAACGTAAAGTTATTTTTCATTTTGTTTTACAGGAACATCATTTAAAAGCTCACCAGTTTACCCATACAGGATTGCGACCGTATAAATGTCCAACATGTGGTAGAACGTTTAATCAGCGTGCGAACATGGTGAGACATCAACTGATTCACAGTAACGACAGATCGTATAAGTGTGAACAGTGTAATAAAACATTTACCCAACCACAGACGTTAAAAGCTCATTTAGTCGTACATGCCGAGAAAAAACCCCATCAATGTAAAGTTTGTGGTATGTTTATTATTTTAAGTCTTATTAATACAAAGCCCAGTTTAGACATGGGCCTGAGGGACCCAGGGACCCAGTGTTTAAGGGGCCCTGCGGTTCATGGCAAAAAGAGAAAAAATTCAAATTCTAGATGAAAGTTTCACCGTAATCGAACTAGCGGAGCGAGGGCGGAGACTGAGCTATCCCTCAACCTTCTCTGTGAAGTTCCACTCCGTGATCGGTCTAGGCTTCTAGCGGCACGAGTAGCGGAGACTGGGTGAGTCGGCAATCGCTCAACCTTCTCTGTGATTGGCCGAAACCCATGACATAGGCGATTTCTTAGCAGCTTTCCCATAGGCCTTTACTGCAGTCACAGTTAAGCTGGGCTTTGTACGGAAGGTCTGGAACTGTTGTCAGTATTTGACGAAAATTTTGGTTTTTTGTGTGGTTGATTATCCAGTATTTTAGGCCAAGTCAAGTAACAGTTGCACCCCTTCCCGCAATAAATCCCATAATTCTTGCATTACTATAAACAAACATCAATCGTAACGATGAATTAGGATTAATTAAAAGAACATAGATATGGTCCATGAAGAGAGAAATTTTGCAATAAAAAAATTTAAGAGTATTGGATATTGAACTGGCAAGGCAATCAAATGGATTTTCTGAAATGGCATTCTTAAATTAATTTCATGGGCAGCCATATCCTTTTTTAGGACTAGTTACCTCCCTTAGACTTTATTTATGAAAATGAAAAAGACTGGATAATCTAGCCAATGCATCCAGACTGGATGATAGAGACTAGTGCTATGAGGGAAATTTTGCCTGGACATGGGTTCTTTTACGCACATGCCAATTTGTACAGGAAAAGCACTGACGAAGGGTGCGTTATATTATGACTTCTATCGAAAAAAAAAAGATCAGTTGTATACCTTGGCAAATAAGTAAACTTTTCCATCTTTAAAATTAATTTATAAAATTTTATATTTACCGTCGTTATTATTTATAGGTAAAGAGTTTGGAAGGGTGCACAATTTACAAGCCCATATGCACATGCATAGTGATTCTAAACCATTCCTCTGTTATTGTGGTAGCTCCTTTACTCTCAAAGGTAGGATACTTTCGTTACAAACAAATCTTATATCACCTGTTTCTTATATTCTTTTATCACTCAGAACATCTTCTGTCATGAAAATACTGGGGAATACTAACTCTAACTTTAACCTTTTTTAGAAGACTGAACTTGGATCTAATTTACTTTTTACCCTCTTAAAAGGGTTAGGGTTTGGGTTAGTATTATCCAAAATACTCATTTATATAAAGCTGCGATTTTGGACTCTGGAAATTTTGGACTCTGGAAATACCTGAAACTCCCCAACCGGCCCACAATTACTATCTCCCCATAAACAATCAGATTAAAATACAGATCTATATTTCGTTTCGTTTTTTATACTTTCGATGGCCTACACTACATGAAGATCTGACCAGTTGTTGCGATAGGTCGCGTCAGAGGTCATACGACCGACTTATGACCCTATGACATCAGACATTTGATTAACCAATTGATGTTATGACTGGATTACCCATAGTTCCATGCAAAACACGTCTAAAGCTCGCCGTAACAGACCGTTTAATTGGCTAATACCTCACACTATTCGGAACACGTCAATGATAACAACTCTTCCAGATCCTAGTGTAGTAAAGAGAAGTAAAACGAAATTTTGAACTATAAAACACGAAATAGGATCTGTGTTTTATTCAGATTACCCCATAAAATACCGTTTAATAATTCTCTGAGTTACTGAGTATGACAGAGATTACATTTCCTGAAATGAAATGAGGTTTAAAGTCCTACTGTTCTGCTCCGACTGGGCTAATGAAGACTTTTGAACTATAAAACACGAAATAGGATCTGTGTTTTATTCAGATTACCCCATAAAATACCGTTTAATAATTCTCTGAGTTACTGAGTATGACAGAGATTACATTTCCTGAAATGAAATGAGGTTTAAGGTCCTACTGTTCTGCTCCGACTGGGCTAATGAAGACAAGCGTATACAGTGTGCAATGAGGGAAATGTGGGTTTTCTCCAGGTTCTCTGGTTTCCTCCCACGTCTAAAGACGAATGCACACAAGCAAATTATTGAAACAAAATTGAGTCCCAATATGACCTAGTTTGTGTTGAGTGGAGTAAACCCCTTTTCTCACTCTCTCTCTCTGTCTCTCTCTCTCTCTGATAACAATATGTATAACAATGACAATGTGAAGGCATTTGGAACACAGCTTTGCTATGATTTCTTGGTTATTGTTGATGGTGGTAAATCAATCGATGTCATGTGACAAATAGAAATTATCTCCCTTGCATATAAAATATATGAATATTACATTATTTATTATTTAAACATACATTATGCAAGAGCTAAATCTGTCTATTGCAGGACTTTCTTTAGGCTTGAAATGTTATATAAACTATTAATTAGACATTAATTAACTGATCCAGGGCCAGGCTATAATCAACTCTTGATACCATCCAACTGATTAAAACACAGATCCTATTTCGTTTCGTGTTTTATAGTTCAAAATTTCGTTTTACTTGTCTTTACTACACTTGGATCTGGAACAGTTGTTATTTAACTCGTGTTCTGAATGGTGTCAGGGATAAGCCAATGAAACGGTCTGTTACGGCGAGCTTTAGGCGTATTTTTCACGGAACTGTGGGTAATCCACTAGTAACATCAATGCTGATTGGTTAATCAAATGTCTGACGTCATAGGGTCATAAGTCGGTCTTTTGACCGCTGACGTGACCTATCACTATAACTTGTCAGATCTTCATGTAGTGTAGACCATCGAAAGTATAAAAAAACGAAACGAAATATAGATCTGTATTGTAATCAGATTGGATGCCATCGTTAGCCTTATGGATAATATAACATAAAAATAGATAATCAAGACTTTGTTTATTATAGAACCAATATTAGTAATGACGATCAAGGCTAGCTTAAAATTGAATTGTTCTTTTCAGAATGAAGCAATTTCAGCATATTCTGTTTTCATTATAGATTTTAAACTATTATAGCGGGAACTGTCAGCTTTTTATTTAAATCTTACATAATGCATCTTTAATCTTTATAGGAAATCTGAAGAGACACAAGAAAATAAAACATGGTATTGATGATTGTACAGAAACTATGGAAGAAGAAGCAGTGTGGTTCTTGAGTACGATGTCCAATAGAGCTACGCAAAACACAACAACAACACCGTTATCCTTAGATACGTCACAGGATTCCGACAGCTACGATAATTCTCAGTCAAGTCTGTTGTCACCGGAGAGCAAGGCGCAGAGAAAACAAAGGAAATCTATTCCAAGAAAGATTCCACGAACCGATGCCGAATCTGGTGGTGAAGAAGGCGAAGTTGCAGCTAAGGATGATCATAATCAGCCAAAATCTGATAGAAAATCACGATTCTTCCGAGCTCTCAATCAACCTGTTGGTAACACAAGTGGTAAATTGATGGCCATGAAGAGATCTTTTGCTGAATTGGAAGAAGATGCCGAAGATGAGATACAGAAAAAAAAAGTACACAGAAAGAGATTCACTGAAGATGTTGATGATGATGATGATGAAGATGATGAAGAAGAGGAAGATGATGATGGAGAAACTGACGATGATGATGATTGGACGCAGGAGGAAACAAACAATCCTGGTATCCATGGAGTCAAAGTCAAAAAGATAGCGACAATGTTGGCTGACAAATTTTCCCGATCCAAACCCGTCAAGTTTAAAGAATCTGCATCCCGATCTTAAATGTTGTTTGATATTATTTGAGAAATCATCCCATTGACAAGCATTTTCCTAAAGATATATCATTTACTCAGGGAAGTTTGGTGTTACAAAGGATAATGTCTCAATTGCAGAAAAACTTCCTTTTTATGCAGGGCACTCACATGTGGGGGGGGGGGCATATGCCCAGAGGCAACACTTTTTTTTTGGGGGGGGGGGCAAATTATCTAAGTGCATACGAGAAATATTCATTTTGTAAGAATATTCTTAATGGAAAATTGAATTTTAAAATTCCTTTAATCATAGAAAATCAACTGAGCGCAGAAACACTGCACACGGCAGTTACAGTATGCAAATGGGAGCGGGGGGCGTCAGTGGAACTTTTGCTCTGAGGCGCCACTTAGGCTTGTGAGAGCCCTGTTTTTATGCAATAAACTTTCTGACATCTGGGATACAGCGCTACTATTATTACAAAAACTATTATCTGTGTAATAAAATTCTATTAACTTGTTTTCAAAATGAAATACCATGTGGAGTATAAGTATTTTACAACCTGACAAGTCTTAATTAAAATTAGACAACCTCGGTTTTTATTTTATTAACATTTTATTGCTGACCTTTTTAAAAATCAGAAGTAAAAAAATTATTATCTACACACAGGAAAGAAATCTTTCTTAGATACAGTAATTGGTTAAATTTGCATTAAAAAAATTTCATCCATTTAGTTAAACATGTATTATGCAAGAGCTAAATCTGCCCATTGCAGGTCTTTCTTTAGGCCTAAAATGTTATCTGAATTATTAATTAGACATTAATTAACCTATCCGGACCATAATCAACTCTCAATGTCATCGCTAGCCTGTGATGTTTATTGGATTAGGTTCCGATTTCCTGTTTGACTTCCATTCATAATTTAATCATGAAATGGATAATCAAGACTATGTTTTTTATCGTACCGACTTTAGTAATGATGATCGAGGCAAGACCGAAAATTTATCACTAAAGTCTTGGTTCAGAGTGGATCAATTTGACTGAAATTTTCAGCAAATTGTCTTTACAGTATCTAGTTTTTAACTATTATAGTGAGAACTGCCAGCTCTTTATCTAATATCCCATAATATATCTTTAACTATGCTTCAATCAAATTTCATAAAGAATGATATGGAAAAGTTTCATGCTTTAAATAATTTATATCTTTCGTAGATATTTTAAGTTTCTTATTCTTTAATTTATTATGGTAACCTATTTCATCCATTTAGTTAACTATGCTTCAATCAAATTTCATAAAGAATGATATGGAAAAGTTTCTTGCTTTAAATAATTTATATCTTTCGTAGATATTTTAAGTTTCTTATTCTTTAATTTATTATGGTAACCTATTTCATCCATTTAGTTAACTATGTTTCAATCAAATTTAATAAAGTTTCTTGCATTAAATAATTGATAACTTTCGTTGATATGTTAAGTTTCTTATTCTATAATTTACTATGGTAACCTATTTCTGTTTTATAATTAATTATAATATTTGTATGTTTTAAGTTATATTACGGTAAGCTATTCGTATGTTATAATTAATTATAATATTTGTATGTTTTAAGTTATATTACGGTAAGCTGTTCGTATGTTATAATTAATTATAATATTTGTATGTTTTAAGTTATATTACGGTAAGCTGTTCCTATGATATAATTACTCATGATATTTGTATGTTTTAAGTTATGTTCAAGAGTTGTGTTAAAATATAATTAACTGCTTATATTTATAATAAAATTATTTGTATTCTGTTCTATATCTATATCAAGAGGGGGGGGGGGTGTTGGATGGCCGAATGGTTAGCGCGTGCATGCTGTATCATAAAGTCTGTCACTGAGTCAACTGGTGTGGTTTCGAATCCCTGGTTGTATGTGACAAGGAGTAAGGTCGCCTGTTATCTCCGGGTCCTCCAGTTTCCTCCCACTGCTAAAGACCCCTATGTGCAAGCAAATTATTGAAATAAAATTGAACCATATGTTAGTCCCGAAATGACCTAATTTGTGTCAGGTGGAGGTTAAACCCCATTTCTCTGGAACAGTGGTGGGCCTACTATATTTTATATAATATAATGGACCATATTAAAAGTTCCAAGGTAATATATAATTGCTCTGGAAGAATTCAGCTCCTTATTTGAAGTCATATTAAACAAATCTCATCCACCTACCGGTTCGACAAGTTTTCCCCTCATCAAAAATGATTACCTTTTCAACCATAATGATTTATGATTCAGAGAAAAAGTAGGTATGAAAAGTGTGGTGGGGGTTTATTAGCTGCAATTGATACACTATTCAAGGCATTGAGCAAGTAAAATTAGGTTCAATTGCAAAATTTTCAACACATATCTTCACAGTTTGCATGGAAATAAGTAATTATGTTACAAATAGTGAAGAGTGGAACACTGAAATCATAATTTCATCTTACCAAACAGTTTTTCGAGTGACATGACACCCTGTGATTCTGGTTCGGCAGCCATTTTAAACAGAAATTTCGCATAGCAGTTGGGTTTAATCAAATCATATAATTATATGGTAAGGTTTCACCTTTATTTGAATGGGAATTGGTTTATTATATGTTAAGCTATGTACAGTACAGTTTGGGGTCAGTGTTATCGGAAATCAAGGGAGTTATAGGCCAGTAACTTTTTTTTGTCAATTGACTACAAAACTTGCTCAAAGGAAGTCCTTAGGACGGTCCACTACTGTGGCTGGAGCAACACGGAAGACATCAGTAGTGGAACCATTTCTAGGGGATTATATCCTACTTTTCTGCACAGAGTGAGCTAGATGAAGGGGAATTTTCCCCAGACAGTGGTGGTATGGCCAACTTTTATTAAATTTGAACTGCAAAGGGTTCTTTAATTTCTTCATCACCAACATGTAGGCCTACATGGGACCACATTTTTTGTCCCATCCAAAAAACTAGTGGCATTCTGAGACATAAATGACTCCTAAGCAATAAACTTTGCATTAAAATACAGATTACTTAAAATTATATAATATACATTATTTTGGTATATAGTAGGATGCTAACCCAATTAACTGATTAAATACACATAGGAACAGCTACTTGAGACGGCTAATCTGATTAAAGGGGAACAACTCTATTTAGAAATTCTTTTTAAGGAAGAGTTGTCGTTGCTGACGGAAGACGTCGCTAGTGAGCACGTGTTAAAAACGATTGTAAACGATGGCGGAGGTTATGTTAGAAGTTGAAGATGGGGATGAATTTGAGGTTGACGAAGAAGGAGATCGTTAGTAATCGTTTGTTTTTTGTTCGTTTAAATATTGGAGATAACACAGAAAATAAAATATTGACCCCCACCCCAATGTAGAAGACAAGAAAATGAAGTTGCCGACTCAGTTCTGTTCTTTATGTTCTTGTTTTATGATTATGATGTATGTACTCATGTAGGCCTATAATAGCCAGTCCTTGTCTTCGTTTAATGCATGTTTTGTTGTTTGTGCGCGCTGTATCAGGCAGCAGGATAAGCAGAGGACGGGGCAAATTGTAATATCTTTATAAATTAAAAGCATTTACAGGGGAATCCAAATTAATGTGTGTTAATAGTCCAGGACGATCAAGTAAAGCTACGAAGTAAAGACCAGTTTCAGACCCACTCTGTATTAATTGCTGTGGAAGGCTTGCTACTGAATACAACCAGCCTTTTCTACAAGCCATGCACAATTCCAGATCCTAAGATGGTTATCCAACCCTTGCATTGACCATTGCATGATTTCATCCTAGGATCTAGTTCAGTAGTTGGTAGTTCAACTCTGAATGTGGGTCTCATTTACACTTGCCCTGTACCGGTACGTTCAGGAACCGCCCTATTGAATCCTTGTCGAAAAAGTTTCGGCCCAGAGTCAATTTTACTGGGCAAGTCTTTACTGCTAAACAGTCGCGTGTCAGTTAGGTCTGGCGAAAAACATTGATATAGTTGATAATAGTAGGCGGCTGCGGGAAAATATTGATATTCAGTTCTTGATAATGATACTCGTATAAAAAATAAAGGAGCTTCAATAATATGAAATTAATGTTTTGTGTCAAATAATCACCAGCATATCATTTAAAACACCCTAAAACTAAAAACATACACTATGATACAAGCACGGCGCCGGTAATTTTTGCGGTCGTTTACAACAATGAATAATTAGTTGTTCAGGGGAAATAACTCAATTTTAATAGGAATTTATTGATTGTTTTAAGCGGCCGAGGAAAAATTGTCAACAGTGATTGATGGCGGTCGCAAAGTTGCGAATACTATTTTGTTAATAAGTTGTGAACGAAACAAACATTAAGAAAACATAGTCTGATGATCATAGTTGCTGAAATGGTTGCCGATATCGAATATTTAAAATCAGTATTGATTGCCAGCCCAAGTGTTAGTCTCTGTGAACGCTTGTACAATGTGAAGGAACATTTAAGTGAGAAAGTCGGTATGTGCGACACAACATGCTGTTAAAAATATGTCCCCTTTGGCTAAACAGCTTGGCAGAAGCCATTGAAATCTAAATATAAATTTATATTTATAAGACGGAATAGCTTAATTTGTAACATAGCCACCAGTAAGGAACAATTTCAGAATCTATCCACAAATTATACCCATGTGCAATGAGTTTGATTTAAGAATCTAGTTGCAAATTATCTGACCAGACGGAAAGCACAAATCATAAAATATTTATTAATCCATCTTTCACTTTCAGTAGGCTAGATCATGTCCATGTATAAAATATTTGATGTTATTTGTTTTTGCAGAAGGTCTCGTGAAGTTGAAGGAAAAGGCAAAGAAGAGAAAAGGGAGAGGATTTGGATCAGGTTTGTTTAGTTATAGTTTCTATTTGGATCAGGTTGGTTTAGTTCTAGTTTCTATTTAGAGAAAATGATTTTCACCTCATTGCAACAATGTGTGAATGTTGTTTGCATAAAACAGGATAAATTCCTTACGGTTAAATTGTCTTTTGAGTAGGGTGAGTTATGGTGGCTAAGTGGGTAAGATGCTTGCTCGCTAGCCTGGAGGTCGTGTGTTTGCTGATTTGAGTCAAAATGATAAAGGAAATTATTTTGGGTCTCTGTGCATGGAATACCTAACCGCGTATTAGACCATCAGGACGAAACTGACAGTGAAATTCTGAACATAATGTAGAGTCTTTACTGTGCGGAAATGACCAGCTTTGTAATTTCTGAAGATTAAATTTGAATTTGTTTGTTTTCAGATGGTCCAACCAAGAGTGGTGTAGAAGAATATGAAGGAATGGAAGTAGATGACGCTTTATCAGTGGATGGACCAGGACCACAAAGATGTAATTTATCATAATATATTAATTTAATCTTGTCTCTGTGCCTGTATTTGTCTATAGGCTGCCAAACACTAAAGATTGTTTGTTAGTGATTTTTAATTACTAAAATAATATTAGAACTTCCAAATGCACACTTTATGTCATAGTTATTTAATCATAGAAACAAAATGATAATTGAAAAAATGAGAAAATTAAAACCAAGTGGACAGATTTTTTACTGATAAAGATTGGGTAGTCAGCGATAAATGAAATAGGGTTTAACGTCCTACTGTTCTGCTCCTATACTGGACTAATGAAGACAGGCATACGCCATACAGTGTGCTATGAGGGGAATTTTGCCGGGGCAGCGGCACTACGGCCTACTCTTGTAAAGAATTCCGCCTGCCAAGGGATCTTTAACGTGCACGCCAATATGTACAAGGGACCTCGGTTATTCATCCCATCCGAACGGCTATGCAGCTGTCCTTGTCAGGCCCTCCGTCCTGCATCACTGACAAGGGGAAACCAGGCCGGAAAATCTGAATGAACGTCTCGGCCAATGCAGGGATCGAACATCTGACCTCCAGGCTAGCGAGCCAGTGTCTTACCCACTTAGCCACGTGATCCCCGGTCAGCGACAAATAAAACTTTCTGTACACTGACAATGTGCTACAAATTTGGTTAAATTTAAAAACTGATAAAATCATTCATTTTATAATTGAAATGTGTATTTATTTTTAGCGGTTGAAGGATGGATTTTGTTTATTACTGGAGTACATGAAGAAGCGCAAGAAGATGATATTTACGACAAGTTCTCAGAATTTGGTGAAATAAAGAATTTACATTTAAACTTAGACAGAAGAACAGGTTTCCTCAAGGTAAATTACTTTAAAGATAAAACTTGATTGCAAACTTCTTTCATAAAACCGGTTGTACGTGACAAGGAGTAGGGTCGCCTATCCAACTTCGTGGATTTTTTCCAGGTCCTCCCACTGCTAAAGACCCTACACGCAAGCTTATTATTAAAATAAAATTGAACCATATGTTAGTCCTGAAATGACCTAGTTTGTGTCGAGTGGACGTTAATTACCATTTCTCTCTCTTTCATAAAATGTTAGTATACTTTGATATAGTCTTCATGCTACCACCCCCCCCCCCCCCCCCCCAGTGCCCCTAACCCAATCTCGATCACAGAGATAAGGTTACCAGTCGTTTATCTCCGGTAAAACTAAAACTCGCCGGCCATTTTGAATGTCACGTGATATATCCTTCCGTCGGTTGCTTCACAAAATGGTAGCTCAAACTCGCGTTTCTTCAGAAATTTCGTGTATTTAGCCGAATCAGCAAATCAATTGTTTTCGAATGAACTTTTGATGTCCAGATGTGGAAAATGTTCCAAGGATCATTAATATGTAAATCATGCTACAAAGAAATGGCTAATTGTTGAGAAATCGGCATCCTGCTAATCAGTAGCCACTGGGGGGGGGGAGGAGCTAAGGAACCGATTTCACGCTGATTAATGGCCGTCGAGTTTTACCAGAGGTAAACCAAGGGTAAAATATCTCTGGGGTCGAAATTGTACCATATCACAGGCTCCTGCTCAGTCCACCCCTGATCTGGAGTCGAGATTGCCCCTATCCTTGACTGAAGTGTAAATTGTGAATTGTAACGAGGTGCATGGTTGTCTGCCTAACTCTAACCTTCAGGGTATTTCTCTGGCTGCTTTGGTACCTTAGATATTTTTAGGGTTATGCTTTAGTACATATTTTTAGGGGTATGCCTTATTATATATTTTTAGGGGTATGCTTTATTATTACATATTTATAGGGGTATGCTCTATAAATTATTTTTAGGGGTATGTTCTATAAATTATTTTTAACATTATGCTTTATAATATATTTTTAGGGTTATGCTTTGGTTGAATATGAGACACATAAAGAAGCTGAATCGGCAATGGATGCTTTAAATGGTAGTGAAATATTGGGACAGAAGATTAATGTTGATTGGGCATTTGTTAGAGGACCTAGAAATGTCAAGTGAGTAACAACATACTCTTTATACTGTTTAAACGGCATTTAGTACTTGAACACATTAAAATAAGGGATCACGGTGGATTAGTGGGTAAGACGCTGCTTCGCTAGCCTGTAGGTCACAGGTTTCATCCCTGCATTGGTCGAGAAAGTTCATCCAGATTTTCCAGCGTGGTTCCCCTTGTCAGTGGTGCAGGACGGAGGACCTGACAAGGACAGCTGTCTAGTCGTTCGGATGGGATGAAAAACCGAGGTCCCGTGTACACATTGGCGTGCGCTTAAAAGATCTCTCGGCAGTAGGAATTCGATATAAGAGTAGGCCATAATGCCGCTGCCCGGGCAAAATTTCCCTCATAGCACACTGTATGGCGTATGCCCGTCTTCATTAGCCAAGTTTAGGAGCAGAACAGTAGGACGTTAAACCCCATTTCATTACATTAAAATAAACTTGTATTATTAAGGGTGCAATGTTTCTATAATGTTTTTTTTTTGGTGAGGGCGGTGGAGCCGAATGGTTAGCACGTCTGTCATTGAGTCAACTGGCGTGGTTTCGATTTACTTGTTGTACGTGACAAGGAGTAGGGTCGTCTGTCCAACCTAGTGGGGTTTTTGCTGGTTTCCTCCTACTGCTAAAGACCCCTACGTGCAAGCGAATTCATGACACAGAATTGAACCATATGTTAGTCTCTCTCTCTCTCGCTCTCTGAACGGAGGTAACTAGAAAGTTTTTAAAAGTTGTTGTTTATTGTAGCTACCATTGTTAGTCTCGAAATGACCTAGTTTGTGTTGGGTGGATGTTAAACCCCATTTCTCTCTCTCCCTCTCTCTGTGATATATTTGTTTATTGTAGCTACCATTGTTAGTCTCGAAATGACCTAGTTTGTGTTGGGTGGATGTTAAACCCCATTTCTCTCCCCCTCTTGCTGATATATTGGTTTATCTTTAGTGAGGACAAACGTGTAAATGTCTGATGTATTATTGTAGGAAAGACAGAAGAGATGACAGACGTAGAAGGTGAACAAATAAAAATGGTTGATGTGAATCATGATGTATAAAACCTTTCATTCATCAAGTGTCACAAGGATAGTTCTACCAAATTTAAAAACCTTTTTACAATTCTATACCTTACAGGCCGGTATTTTCAATAATTTTATTTAACTAGCCAGTGCTTCACGTTTATATAAATGTGTGGGAGCCACAAAAGAACTCCTGCCAATTTCAAAAAAGAAAAAAAAAGCTCCCTTAAAAAAAAAACCTTAATTATATTGCAAGAGTAAGTCTACATTTTGTTGAATTAAGGAGAGCCAAATTATATTTATGCTTTAGTCTTGTTTAATATTTGGTGAATATGTTTGGAGAATATGGTAGCGTCAAAATTATCATCATGGAAACTGATAGCTCTGAGGTATGCAGTTTAAAAATAAACAAAAACTGCAATTAGTTTATTAATCTCAATATTTAGGAGAGTGATTTAGCTAATTTGCAGGAGTCTTTAATGATTCCCGCGAAGCAAATTTGAGAGGAGCAGGAACAAAAGCTCACCTTAAACGTGAAGGACTGCAATTATTGCTCTTAATCCATTTTGAAATGAAACCTGACATGTCACATAATGCGAGGGTCTTGTTAATTCAAAAGTTTCCTGTAAGACAAATTGCATTTCATCAGCTTTTATTCTGGTGGCAATTCTCTGTATTTTGATTACGACAGATGATACCATCAAAAACAACTGAAAACAGGGTCCTCAAATTTGATTGGCTTGTTATTTAGTAGATAGGTCGTTGTTTTAGGAGTAGGCCATTGATTGTAGTCAAAACTCCCCTGCAGATTACGAGCTGTACAGCGTAAGTAGCTTCCCTTTGTCACGAAATCATATCATATGTACATAATCATTACAATTATATATAAACATTGTCATATATTTGTTTTTAGTTTAATCTACGATGTGTGGATAATATAATTATGCATTATGAAGTTGTCTGTACAGGCGGTTAAATCTATTTGTTAAGGCCAGCTCAATTTTTGTCAAGGTCGCCAAGATGTAAACAAGCTTAGGGTATGGGTTAGAGTAAGCATTGGGGCTAGGTTCAGGGTTGAGTTAGTGTTGGGATTAGATCTAGCTGTTTTTACATCTTGTGACCTAAGATGAAAAATTGAGCAGGCCTTATCATTTAACACTAGCCCGATACAGACATGTCGTATTAGATCAACCATAAGTCTCAAAGAGAAATAGACATCCAAGCAATTTACATTACAAAGTGCTGTTAGCAGAACTAAAATCTAAATGGGACATAAATGTCTTTTAGAAATTGACAGCTGTATTTAACTAATTTGTAGCAGGACCACTCATTGCCATTACCAGTGGAAACCGCAAGCACATGGAAAATGGACAATCTTTCATAAATAATACTAAACATTGTTATGCCTAAGGCCTAAGGTTATGCCTGAAATCCGTTTGGCCATCATATTTTTATTAGACCATTTTCACCATAATAATATGACCAGATGATGAAATAACTCCATGGTTTTAGCCAAAATACCATCTATTTTAACTTTCTACATAGCCTCAACTTAATGTTATTTTTGAAAGCGATTATTTATTTTACACGCCCTGGGTTTATGACTGGATAAATTGAGAAGGCTAAATCGGTGACGATCCTGCACATGTGACGTCATGCGTGGATTGTGGGTTAGGATAAGAGTTAGGACCTGCAGATTTCGTCAACGTCTAGAGATGTAAACAGGGCTAACCCTAACGCACAATCCATGCATGACTTTATATGTGCAGGGGACCATCTTGGATAAATATCATGCTTGTAGTCATTTTGTGTTAGTTTTTATCATGAATCATTTCTACATACAATGTAAGCTACAGTCATTGTTGTAAATATTTTAATTACTTTAAAATAAATAGAAATCAGCATAAAGATCTTTGGATTTGTTTTTTCAACTTAATGGATGCAGTGAATGACTCCAACAAAGGAAAGTTGATGTGCGTCGCGAGAAGCAGAAGTAAGCACACCTTAAAACATGAAGGACTGTTTAATGGATGCAGTGAATGACTCCTGCGAAGGGAAGTCGAGTTGCGTCGTGAGGAGCAGAAGTGAAAGCGCACCTTAATGGATGCAGTGAATGATTCAACTTGAATCCTGTGTTTTGCATGAAGCCTAACTATTTGCTGATTTTTCGTCTGTGGTGATACCACTATACAGGGTGTAGTTACCACTTGAGAGTTATCTTCTCTTGTGAACAGTTCGTGTGTTACCGCAACCTAATTAAGCTCGAGGGTTAGATGGCCGAATGGTTTAACATGTGATCATTGAGTCAACTGGCGTGATTTCGAGTCCCTGGTTGTATGTTACAAGGAGTAGGGTCATCTGTCCAACCTTGTGGGTTTTCTCCAAGTGCTCCGGTTCCCCTGCTAAAGACCCCTACGCACAAGCGAATTATTGGAATAAAATTGAACCATATGTTAATTCCAAATTGACCTAGTTTGTGTCAAGTGGAGACCCCATCTCTCTCTCTATTTTATTGGTCAAGCATGGCCTACTTGTTAATATAAATTTCAATCCCAAAATAAAACTGTGTGCGACATAAGTGGAATTGAGAACTGGCTGGGAAGTTTTTTGTTCTACAGGGTATATTCCATCTTTCATGTTTCTTCATGAAAATATTTCGCTGGGGGGGTTGGATGGCCGAACGGTTAGCATTTGTACGCTGTTATCATGAGGCCTGTCATTGAGTCACCTGGCGTGGTTTCGAATCCCCGGTTGTACGTGACAAGGAGTAGGGTCGTCTGCCCAACCTTGTGGGTTTTCTCTGGGTCCTCCCACTGATAAAGACCCCTACGTGCAAGCGAATTATTGAAATAAAATTAAACCATATGTTAGTCCCGAAATGACCTAGTCTGTGTCGATTGGACGTTAAACCCAATTTCTCTCTCGGACCACCTATCCAACACAAATAAATAACAAATATTTGAATTTTATATTTTTATACAATAAAATCAATAAATACATAAAACATTACATCTTAGGATAATTTTCAAGTTCATATGGTTGTGGTTCATCCCAATATTCATCTATAGGTTTACTAAACGCATCATTCTTTCTAAATCCACTATCACCTGTTTTAACTTGCGTAACTCCCTGAAACACCAAATATGAGAATGCATGTATTACTGGGAGGTTGATTGGATAACCTGTCGGCGTTGTATCATAAAGTCTGTCATTGGTTTCGATTCTCCACTTGTACGTGACAAGGGCTAGGGTCGCCTGTACAACCTCCCGGGTTTCCTCGCACTGTCAAAGACCCTCTGTGCAAGCGAATTTCGGTAAATGAAATAAATTTGAACCAACAACTGGACTAGATGCTTTTTCCTGCACCAATGACAAGGGGAAATCAGACTGGATAACCCTTAGTAATTTTCTTGGATCAAATACACAGAGCAGTCATTGTTTTTTAAGGCGTGTGGTCGCCCTTGAGCGTCTGCCGCTCACCTGAATGTCGACCGAGGGGAGGTTTTTCTCCCTCATCTTAAAACTCAAAATCGCTCTCCTTTACAAAGTCATTGTGGGTTTATTATCATTTATCAAACCAGGAATGACCGCATTACATGCAGTTATTGATCTTCAGAACCATTTCCCATACACACAACTAATCACTCTCCTTAATATCGGATCATTCTCCTTAATTTCTAAATCACTCTCCTTAATTTCTAAATCATTCTCCTTAATTTCTAAATCACTCTTCTTATCGAAACTGGGAGAGCTTTTTTAGGGGAGCGATTTTTTCAATTTGTTGATTGAGAGGAGCTTTTTTGCACTCTCCTCTGGAATAAAAAAAACAACGACTGCACTGAGCATGCTTACTCTCCATGGAACAACCTATACCACTTCTATTTGATTTTCTGGTACAGTAGGTAAAAACCATGGTTACCTGGTTCATAAGTACAGATAAAGCATGGATTGACCAATCAATAGGAAGTTGAGAATACTCACCGTTACTCTATCTCGGTGTTCTGTCCAGAATGTTACTGGTTGTTCTGTTTTGTAATTGTGCTTCTGAAATAACAAATAAAACTATAGATAGAATCAACAATTTTGAGATCCTCCAAAAGAAAAGGAAATAAGATTATGAATCAAGATTCTCCAAATTTTTCACCCCAAATATTGTTAGCCTCATATTTTGTCACTAGACTGAATGTCAGGCCATTGTCAGCCACAGAACACCAGATTTAATGTTATGTTACACAGAAAGAAAATACAAGCTCTTTTGTCTGTTATAAAATACAAACAAGGTATGTTTCAGATTAAGTAGTACAAGATGCATGTGTTTATTTAATCTCAGAGCTGCGGTGGGTCAGTGAGTAAGAGAGAGAGAGAAATGGGGTTTAACGTCCACTCGACACAAACTAGGTCATTTCGGGACTAACATATGGTTTAATTTTATTTCAAAAATTCGCTTGTGCGTAGGGGTCTTTAGCAGTGGGAGGAAACCGGAGGACCCGGAGAAAACCCACAAGGTTGGACAGGCGACCCTACTCCTTGTCACGTACAACCGGGGAATCGAAAACACACCAGTTGACTCAACGACAGACTTTATGATACAGCGCCCACACTAACCATTCAGCCATCCACCCCCCCCCCAGTGAGTAAGACGTTGGCTCGCTAACCTGAAGGTCCCATGTTCCATCCCTGCGTTGGCAGAGAAAGTTCATGAGGATTTTCCGATGTTGTTCCTCCTTGTCAGTGGTGCAGCACCTAGGGCCTGGCAACGGACAATGTATAGTCGTTCAGATGGGACGAGTTCTTGGCATTAGGTGCACGGAACTGGGTAACCCACTAGAAACATCAACACTGATTAGTTAATCAAATGTCTGACGTTATAGGGTCAAAACTCATATGACCCCTGATGCGACCTTCCAATATCAGATCTTCATGTATTCAAGGCCACCGAAAGTATAAAAATACGAAACAAGATATAGTTCTGTATTTTAATCAAATATAACTAAAGATAAAACATAAATTAAATCAACTTACCGACGTATCAATAATGGGTTCTTCTGGTGTAAAATCTTTTGTATAATCAACGATAGTCACAGATCGGAAATCTGTAGCAGGAGGGGGTGGGTTAAATTCTTCATTTACTTCTTTGCTGAATTAAAGATACATTATGGGAGATTAGATAAAGAGCTGGCAGTTCTCACTATAATAGATAAAAACTGGATAATGTAAAGGGAATTTGCTGAAAATTTCAGTCAAATTGATCCACTCTGAACCGAGAATTCAGCGATTCAATTTTGGGCCTAGCCTCGATCATCATTACTAAAGTCGATACGATAACAACATAGTCTTGATTATCCATTTTTTGATTTAATCATGAATGAGCGTTGAGCAGCAGATCGGTTTCCAATCCAGTGAATATCGCAGACTAGCGATGACATCGAGAGTTGATTACGATCTGGATAAGTTAATTAATGTCTAATTAATAATTTAGATAACATTTCAGGCCTAAAGAAAGACCTTCAATAGGCAGATTTATCTCTTGCATAATGTATGTTTAAAATCATTTAGATTTAGATATTATTATAAAATATGTTTTGTCATTGAATTTGGATTTTAATTTTAATAAAATGGTGAGGGACAAGAATTGTTTTGTTTTAGGTTTCAAGATAATCAGGGCTATGGGATACTGTTGCGAATGTAAACTTAAATCTCTCAAAATCTCATAGTCAATGTTTTGTAAAAATGTATTCAACAATGCCATGTTTTCAATTTGTGAACTCTTAAACGATGAAAATTATAATCTGATCTGTATGAAATTGATATCAGTATCTTGTAAATACCCCCCCCCCACCCCATTACACACAAAGAATAATTATGTGACAACCCTAGTCGACAGCTCGGACGATTAAGCTGCTGTGGGCGTATGTTTCGTTGTCTGGCAACCTATCATTATTAGTTCTTACCTGAGCTGCTCATATAACATCTGTTCCATTAACTGTTTCTTAGCACCTGTAAAGTAATTATGTTTGTCAGTATACTGATAGCAAAGCCCTCAATCCTCGAGGTCGGGTGTTCAATCCCTGCATTGGCCAAGAAAGTTCATCCAGATTTTCCGGAGTGGTTCTCCCTTGTCAGTGATGCAGGATGGAGGGCCTGACAAGGACAGCTGTCTAGTCGCTCAGATGGGACAAAAAACCGAGGTCCCATGTACACAATGGCGTGCACGTAAAAGATCCCTTGGCAGTTGGAATTCGTTATAAGAGTAGGCTGTAGCGCCGCTGCCCGGGTAAAATTCCCTCATAGCACACTGTATGGTATATGCACGTCTTCATTAGCCCAGTTTAGGAGCAAAACAGTAGGATGTAAAACTCCATTTCATTTGTTAATAATAATTATGACAGGCTTTGTCATTTTATATTTCTTGTTAAAATAAAATAAATTTTCTGTCATTTTCAGAATTATTATCCCTTTACTGTCCTGCCTTTCGAGGAAATGAAATGAAATGGGGTTTAACATCCTACTGTTATGCTCCGACTGGGCTAATAAAGATGGACATATGCCATACAGTGTGCTATGAGGGGAATTTTGCCCGGGCAGCGGCACTATGGCGTACTCTTATGTGCAAGCCAATGTACACACGGGACCTCGTTTTTTTGTCCCATCCAAATGACTAGACAGCTGTCCTTGTCAGATCCTCCATCCTGCACCCCTGACAAGGGGAAACCATGTTGGAAAATCCTGATAAACCTTTATGGCCAATGCAAGGATCGAACATGCGACCTCCAGTCTAGCGAGCCAGCGTCTTACCCACCTAGCGCTCGGTTTAGTTGTTACTTGTTAATGTCAGCATTATCATTGATACTTTGATTTTGTCTTTTAAATTAAAATTAAATGGGTACACAATTTGATTAAAATACATGTACAGATCTATATTCTGTTTCGTTTTTGTAATCTTTCAATGGCTTCTACTACATGACGATCTGACCAGTTGTAGTGGGAGGTTGCGAGCAGCTTTTGACCCAATGACGTCAGACATTCGATTAACCAATCAGCCTTGATGTTTCTAGTAGGATACCCACAGTTCTGTGCATTGTACGCCCAAAACTCGCTTCAACAAACCGTTTTATTGGCTAATCCCTCACATTAACCAGAATGCCTGTTATATACATGTAACAACTCTTGAAATATAAAAAAACGGAACGAAAAAGGATCTGTGTTTGAATCAGATTATTTGAGTACATTATATCATAGCATGGATTAGGCTTAATCCGTGTAAAATTAGATCTTTTCCGAAATGTATAATATGACCATCGTCAGCTTTAAGACTGCCTACTTACCCACTTGTCTGACATTAGGAGTTTCTGGCTTTTTATAGGAGACACGAAATGTTGTTAAATCTTCTACTTTACTGTTAAATGTTGTAGTTAATAAACCTGGATGGCCGGCTCGTAATATTTCTGATTGAGTATGTTTATCTAAATCTTTATTTGATTGATCTAAGTGTGAAACATTTCTCTGAAAAAAAAGTACAACAAATTATACAACAGAATTGGAAATAGAGTGCAGACAAGTAGACTACCAAGATTTTGAAACTAGTGTTCTTGCTGGTCAGACATAACGTAAGGATCTGCGACTTGTAACAGTTCAATAATTGATAATGAAAAATTGGTATATTGAATATTTCATTCAAATTACTTAGACTAAATCGTATATCATCGTAGCAGTGGTAGGCTACCATACTTGACAACCAAGAGTAAGTCTCCATTATCCATTTTACCATTAAATTTTTAGATCGCAAATCCATTGAAACCTCATCCATCCGACTACAGAGTTGATTATGAAATGAAATTTAACGTCCTACTGGGCTAATGAAGACGGGCATACGCCATCACAATGTGCTACATATAAGGGAAATTTTGCATTGGAAGCGGCACTATGGCCTACTCTTATATCGATTTCTAACTGCCAAGCCAGGGATCTTTAATGTGCATGCCAATTTGTACACAGGACCTTGTTTTTTCGTCCCATCCGAACGACTAGACAGCTGTCCTTATCAGGCCCTCCATCCGTGACAAAGGCAAACAACGTCGGAAGAGAGTTAATTGTGAATAAATGTCTAATTAATAATTTATGACATTTGTCATTTGAAGCTGCTTTAAATATTAATCTGTAATTATTAGATAGACAAATCTAGATAAAATAAAGTAAAAAGTTAAAAGGTCTACGATCCAATTTAAAAGTATATAAATAATTAAATTAAATAAACAATCACCTCCTCCACCCAATTTTCTAAAAGACATTTTCCACCACTATTATTAAACCTGATTTCGTTTCTTCCTTGGTTCATTAAACTCATCTTGACTGAGAAATTGAATATTATGCTATTCAAGTTTCACTTTCAGTCTAGAATAAATGTCACAACAGTAAAACTTGTTTTAGAAAAACAACAGTAGGTATGCATCCATTAATAACACCTGCCAATATTGTTTACGGAAGTAGTGGCCATGTGGTAACTATGACAATCTGCGCAGAAGTTATGCGCGGATAAAGAATTTTACTCCGCCCACTTAGCCCTACTTCCAGTTTCTCAAAAGTATTGTAATAACGACCCGTTTGACTGTGAAAATATTTAGTTTTTTTCAAAGCAGTCAAACACATGCCTTTTTTAAAATCTCAAATATAAAATATTAATGCTACAGGGGGTCGTGCACGTGGCAGTTGTATGCTTACTCCTTTTTAGATCTATCCCTTCTATAACAGGTCGTTTTCTATAAAATATGGGTTCAAGTAAATCGATTAGCGAGCCAATGTCTTACTCACTGAGCAACCGCAGCACCCAATTTATTTCATACCGTCCGTCTTTATTTTCCCAGTCGGAGCAGAAAAGTAGGACGTTTATACTTGGGGGAGGTCGGGTGTTCGATCCCTGCATTGGCCGAGAAAGTTCATCCCGATTTTCCGGCGTGGTTCCCCCTTGTCAGTGATGCACGACGGAGGGCCTGACAAGGACAGCTGTCTAGTCATTCGGATGAGACGAAAAACCGAGGTCCCGTGTACACATTGGCGTGCACGTAAAAATCCCTTGGCAGTTGGAATTCGATATAAGAGTAGGCCGTAGTGCCGCTGTCCGGGCAAAATTTCCCTCATAGCACACTGTATGGCGTATGCCCGTCTTCATTAGCCCAGTTTGGAGCAAAACAGTAGGACGTTAAACCCCATTTCATTTCTTTTTCATACTTGGGTGACACTATAAATAAACTGTTTATGGGGCGTTATAGTAACTCAAACTGTCTGAAAAATATTCGACACAAAAGCAATCTGATTAAAACAAAGATCTCTGAGTACCGGTTGTAGTGGAAGGTCGCGTCAGGCGTCATATGAGCGGCTTTTAGCCTTATGACGTCAGACATTTGATTAATCAATTAGCGTTGACGCTTCTAGTGGTTTAACCAAAGTTCCGTGCAGCTAACGCCATAAACTCGTCGTGCTACCGTTTCATTGGGTAATATCCCTCACGTCAAGTAGATCGTGGGTTATATAACCACTTATCCAGATCCTCGTGTAGTGAAAACAAGTAAAACGAAATTTTGAACTAGAAACAACGAAACGAAATAGGTTCTGTGTTTTAATAAGATTGGCACAAAAGAGACGTGCCTTGTTATATCGATTGATATATGCGCGCATCCTGGAACTTTTGGGGTGTATCCAAAGGGAGCGTATTTCATGTAAGGCTAGCGTAGCGTTGCGAATAATATTTAGCTCCGACCTGTTTCACGAGAAACTCCTAATTGTCTTGCTAAATCTAATTGAGAGGGAGAGAGGGAGAGAGAGAATGGGGTTTAACGTCCACTCGACACAAACTAGGTCATTTCGTGACTAACACATGGTTCAATTTTATTTCAATAATTCGCTTGCGCTTAGGGGTCTTTAGCAGTGGGAGGAAACCGGAGGACCCAGAGAAAACACACGAGGTTTGACAGGCGACCCTACTCGTTGTCACGTACAGCCAGGGAATCGAAACCACGCCAGTTGACTCAATGACAGACCTTATGATACTGCTTGCACGCGCTAACCATTCGGGAATCCAACCCCCTAAATCTAATTGATAGATTTTAAATAAATATGTCGTTATTGTTTCTTGTATTGTTACGTTAATTATTAACGTTTGTTGATAAAACGTGACACATCGAACAGTTTGTTAAAGCTCCTTTGTCAGTTTTATATGTTTGTTTGTTTTTTTGATGGAGTTATTCTGCTAATGCATGGTTGGTAAATGAATTATATATTTGCTGATTACAATAAGTGCAAACTCCACAATGGTTTTCAAAATGTCAATAGATCTAATGGGAGAGTGTATTTGTTTCCCGCATTTGCTGGGGAGCCGGATGATACAAATAACTGGCACATGCAGTCGACGGACGGAGGAAAGCGGACATTGCTTTGAACTGTCATCTTTGACAAAGGGCCACCATACTAGACAGCCATACGTTTTCGAAAAAAAAGAGGGTTAGACCTATTTGACAAGCGCACATGCATATTTCCTCAATGTCTCAATGTAGACAGGGTTATGGCACGTGATTGTTGCCGAGAATTGTTATTTAGGTTAGGGTGTAGGGCTAGGTCTTGAGTTAGAGTTGCTAATTATGCATTTAGCCTTGTCAAATAATTCTAACCGCGAAAAAGGGCCACCAATTTTGCTTTTCATGGACAGGAAAATAAATATTTTGTCAGTTTTTTGTTTAGTCAAGGTTATCAACTGGCGTGGTTTCGATTCCCCGGTTGTACGTGACAAGGAATAGGGTCGCCTGTCCAACCTCGTGGGTTTTCTCAGGATCCTCCGGTTTCCTCCCACTGCTAAAGATGCCTACGCGCCAGGGCCGTAACTAGCTCAGAGCAACGGGGGGGGGGGGGGTGTTGTGTTCTCAGGGGGTGCTGTAAAATTGACGGACAATGTATATCTATTGTTTTTATGGTCGACAATTTATTTACGGGGGGGGGGGGGGAACTTTTTGCAATGAAATAGAAAATAAAATTGAACTGTATGTTAGTCCGGAAATTACCCAGTTTGTTTTGAGTGGACGTTACCCCCCCCCTCTCTCGTTCTCTCTCTCTCTCTCTCTCTCTCTCTCTCATAGTCAAAGATAAAGCGTGCACTTTAAATATATAGAGGCGGAAGAGGGGGGAGGGGCGTTGGTTGACTAAATATATAACGTGAATGTAATCTATAAATATTAGGTGCAGTACGGTATATAACAGGTCATATATAGATTATGTTTTATAAAGCGATTATCTATCATTATAATAATGTAGAAAAACGATTGATCGGTGTTGATTTTCTATATGAATGATCAATATCTTATGGCTTATTGATTTAAATTGATTCACTTGAAAAGGTAGCTTGTGTAAAGAAATCTGAAAGCCGTTCATACTTGTTGGTCGATCTCTCAACTTCATTGCTTGTAAGCTTGGTTAATGTTGTTTATTTCCTAAGTCTTATTCGGATATAGATTCATATTGAATTAATGTCTTTGATCTCAGCGAATGAGTGTATGAAGGTAAGTATGGAGCATTTAATAGAAGTGTACCTATATTATTAAATGAAATAGGGTTAAACGTCCTACTTTTCTGCGTCAACTGGGAGAGAGAGAGAGAGAGAGAGAGAGAGAGAGAGAGAGAGAAATGGGGTTTAACGTCAACTTGACACAAACTAGATCATTTCGGGACTAACACATGGTTCAATTTTATTTCAATAACGCGCTTGCGCGTAGGATTCTTTAGCAGTGGGAGGGAACCGGGGGACCCTGAGAAAACCCACGAGGTTGCACAGGCGACCTTACTCCTTGTCACGTACAACCGGGAAATCGAAACCCCGCCAGTTGACTCAATGACGCGCACTCCCTAACCATTCCCCCCCCCCCCATCAGGCTATAAAGACAATGCAGTGTGTCATGAGTGGAGTTTTGACCATATAGCGGTTTTCCGCCTACTCTTAATCGAATTACAACTTCCAAAGATTCCTTTACCTGCACCCCAACGAGGACACACATAAATCCCTGTTTTTCGTTCCATTCGAACGACTGGAGACTTTTCCTTGCTAGCCCACTATCTCATACATTGGGAAGGTGACATACATTTACTTTAAAAGTTTATATTAAAAAACAAATAAGATAAGCTCCCGCAACAAAAATATTTTTTTCGCCAGCTTAAGTCTAGGTTGTTATTTTTAAAATATTTTTCAAGAGTTTATTTAAGATATGGTTTCAACTTTATGGGGTGATTTTTATAACGGGTTTTGATTATCAAAAAAAGAAACCGTATTCGTTCTGTTTTTCTTTATCGGCTTAATCAGATTTAAACTTTGTTTGTCGACGATTTAAGATAAAAAAGATAATGCCACTGAAAGAATAAAGATTAAACGAGCGTCTATAGCAACAGCTTAACAACGCGCCGGAAATGATTCAAATTAACCTTTTCGGCTCGTGTTAGAGCACCTGTATTCTGTCGTGTTAAGAATTAATATACGGTGGTTTTATATTTACTGTTATGGATTTATCATGGCATGACAAGGTCAGTGTCTATGTGCTTTGGGGTTTTTTTTTATTTATTTTTTGGTAAAATAATTAATATGAAACTAGTTTTTAATTTATTATTTGGGCAGTTTCTTTATATTAGTAATATACCTACAGGGTGGGCAGTCCACCGTGGTATATTAAAGTTATAAATAGACCGTTTCATTGTTAGTATATATGTACCTTTGTATTGTTGTATGTATGTACATACATAAACATTCAGTAAATAAACCTCTTATATCATTTGTATATGACAAGCATGGACCAGTGACTTTTTTTATAATAATGGGGTGGGGTAGTGTACTATTAAGTGTTTACATTTGCACACTGGAGGCCATAAATAAACGCAATAGGATAATTTTAAACATGTAATGAAAGGGTGTTTGACGTCTGCTCCAACTGTTCTGCATCAACCGGGCTAATGAAGACGGGTATACGCAATGCAGTATGCTGTGAGGGAATTTTGCTTGGACAGCGGCGTATCTGCCTACTTTTCATTGTCAAGGGTTCTTTTACGTGCACACTAAAGAGTACACAGGACCCCAATTTTTCGTACCATCCGAACGACTAGACGTCGTTCCTTGCCAGCGACACCACGCTAGGAAAATCACGGGGAACTTCGTCGACCAACATCTGTTTCGAACCTAGGACTCCAAGGTTAATGGGCCAGCGCCTGATTCGCGGAGCCTCCCAATTTTAAACGTACACATTTAAAGGGTACCTAGTGGTGCGATGCTACAAATTACTTGGGGTCTACCCCCAAGATCACAAATAAGCTCAAGGGGTAATATTAAATGGACACTTTTATAGGGTTCCGAGTGGAGAGGTGCCAAACATTTTCTGGTTTCTGACTCTAAAGATTATAGATATACTCAAAGGGAATGAACCATTTGTCAAAATTTTAATAAATATTGGAGACTGTGTTTATAAACGAGCACTTCAATTTCTCTAGGTGTCGGATGGGTTGGAGGGCCGAGTGGTTAGCACGTGCGCGCTGTATAATAAGATCTGTCATTGAGTCAACTGGCGTGGTTTCGATTCCCCGGTTGTATGTGAGCAGGGTCGCCGGTCCAGCCTCGTGGGTTTTCTCCGGGTCCTCCGTTTTCCTCCCACTGCTAAAGACCCCTAGGCGCAAGCAAATTATTGAAATAAAAATTGAACCATGCGTTAATCCCGAAATGACCTAGTTTGTGTCGAGTGGAGATTCCCCCCATCCCCCCCCTCTCTCTCTCTCTCTCTCTCTCTCTCTGTGTTTAGGTGTCACAGCTCCCTGTCCCTGGATTCGCCCTTCTTATACCAATGTTATAAACTCCCTATATGTGTACCGACTACTTATCGCATATACTTACCTGTGTACCGACTACTTATAGAATTTACTTACCATATTAAATAAATAAAATTCTGAGTATATTATACGCATTATTAAATAATGGGTCTTGTTGAAAAAAATATCAATTTATGTGTCAACATAAAGCCTTTGATGATATGGTAATTGCATTTAATTATAACTTCATACTATGGTACTCCAACATGACGTGATGTGTTTATCTAACGCTTGTGATATAATGAACAAGTCATAACTTGATCGATAGAAATAAAATAAAATGAAATGGGGTTTAACGTCCTACTGTTCTTCACTGACTGGGCTAATGAAGACGGGCATACGCCATACAGTATGCTATGAGGGAAACTTTGCCCGGACAGCGGCGCTATGACCTACTCTTATTTCAAATTCCAACTGTCAAGGGATCTTTTACGTGTACCCCAAAGTGTACTCGGGACCTTGGTTTGTCGTCCCACCCGAACGGCTATTCGTTGCCCCTTGCCAGACCCTCCGTCCTACACCACTAACAAAGGAGGACCACGCCGGAAAATCTCAATGAACCTTTTCGAACCCGGGACCTCCAGGTTAACGAACCAACGTCCTACTCCCTGGGCCACCGTGGCTCGCAGAGATGAATAGTAATAATATCTTTGAGGGACATTTAGAAGTTAGATATACTTATAACCTATAACAATTCTTATTGTTAAAAATAAAATGAAATGAGATGAGAGAAATCTGCCCGGGCAGCGGCGCTAACGGCCTACTCTTATTTTAAATTCCAACTGGTTACAAAACTCCCAGGATCAACGTCCTATAATGGAGCGAGCAAGAATGATTCTGAGAGACCCCAATATACGCTGTCTCTCAAAATGCATGACTGTGCCTTTAGCGAGGTTGCGGTGGCGACGAATATCCTTTGTACCCCCCCCCCCCCCACCCCGAAACATCTGACGGCGATCAATCTGATTAAAACACAGATCCTATTTCGTTTCATATTCTATAGTTCAAAATTTCGTTTTACTTGTCTTTACAACACTAGGATCTGGAACAGTTGTTATATTACCGACGTTTTGGTTGAAGCTAGGGATAAGCCAATGAAACGGTCTGTTACGGCGACTTCTTGGCGTGCCATGCACAGAACTGTGGGAAAACCACTAGAAATGTCAACGTCGATTGATTAATCGATGTCTGACGTCATAGGGTCAAAAACCCCGCGTATGACCTCTGACACGACCATCGAGAACAACATGTCAGATCTTCATGTAGTGTAGGCCATCAAAAGTATAAAAAAAGCGAAACGAAATATAGATCTGTGTTTTAATTAGATTTGACGGCGATGGAAGCGGAAGATAACCTCAATTAAGCAAATATTACATAGAACCTTATGGATTTAAACATACTTGTACATTTACTAAGGAGGGCCTGGCAAGGAAAGGTGTCTAGTCGTTCGGATGGGACGAAAAACCGAGGTCCCGTGTACACATTGGCGTGCACGTAGAAGATACATTGGCAGTTGAAAGTCGATATAACAGTATATAGGTCGTAGCGCCGCTGCCCGGGTAAAATTTCCATCATAGCACACTGCATGTCTTTATTAGCTTATATTAGTCAGAGCAGAACTGTTATACTTAAGTTAATACCCCATTTCATTTCATTTACTTAACATAAATCTTATGACGTCATAAAGTTAATGATGCATACATATATATGTACAGAGTATAGTGGAGTAATGGAAGTTTACGATAAGACGGACAAGGGCCCAGTTTCTCGAAATCTTAACTAAAGATAAAATCCAATTTTAGTACATACTTCAATTTTGATTGGCTAAGCACTAAAATCAATCTAATATTATCCAATCAAATTACTAAAATTTGGATTTTATCTTAGTTAAAATTTCGTGAAACAGGCCCCTTGAAACACAACGACGACATCAACCGATCCGGATATGTCTTCATAAACGATGTTTTATAAAAGATACATTATGGGAGACTATGTTTTTTATCGTACCGACTTTAGTAAGGCCCAGAATTCAATTTGACTGAAATTTTCAGCAAATTCCCTTTACATTATCTAGTTGTTAACTTTTATAGTGAGAACTGTCAGTTTTTTTTATCTAATCTCGCATAATGTATCTTTAAAAAAGGGGAATTACTACTCACTAAACCACTCCATGGGCAAAGGCCGCAAATGGATATTCTAAAAACAGGAAGAAACTTCGACTCTCCTATGTCTTGTCTGTGATATAACTTTTGTTGAAGCAGACGTTAAAGAAAGCAAAACAGGGCGAGATTAAGACCACAAGGGGAGCTAAGACTGTAAAATATTATGGTGCCCGCATATCTTTGTGGTTGTTACCAGTTGCTGAAAGTGTTAAAATGCACACATAAAAAGAATGTAAAGACAGACAATAATATAAAGATAAATTTTGTGGGGAAATAAAGCCACTAATGCGGATTAAACAAATAAAGGGGTTTTTAAGCGTGATTTAAAAAAAGAGATACATTGTCTTTTAAGAACTGGGAGCTTATTCCCTAAAAACAAAGAGCTTATTCCCTAGAAACAAAGAGCTTTTTAAGTTATTCCATAAAAGGGGAGGCTATAATTTTATATGTGAACTTAAGTTATTCCATAAAAAGAGAGCTTAATTAAAAGAAAAGGGGCGATCATCTTGCAAACTCAATCGCGCTTTTCGTAGATAAAGCAGTAACCCATCCGATAAAGACTAGTTGTTGGATATGCGAAAACAGTTCTAACATGACAATACAATTTTAAAATCAACCCCATAAAACTAACAGGCAGTCAACGCATATCGGCCGGATCCAGGAATTTTTGCAGGAAGGGGTTTGCCCGGTACCTGAAACACTGTGGCTGTAGGGATCGGGGGGAGGAAGGGCTTGAGTCCCCCCCCCCCCCCCGGGTCTTGGAATTGTTTGAGGAATACATGGTCTCTATCGTCGTTTTGGCGTATATACATACACACTGTCAAGGACAGCTCTCTAGTCGTTCGGATGGTATGAAAAACCGAGGTCCCGTGTACACATTGGCGTGCGCGCAAAAGATCCCTTGACAGTTGGAATTCGAAATAAGAATATATTGTAGTGCCACTGTCAAAGCAAAATTTCCCCCATAGCACACTGTATGGTGTATGCCCGTCTTCATTAGCCCAGTTCGGAGCAAAACAGTAGGACGTTAAACTCCATTTCATTTCATTTCATTTTTTAAAGAGAGAAATCCAACACCCCGTTTGACGGTCAATTTTTATTGTCAATTAATACATTGGGATTCAATGCCATAGAGACAAAGCATTAATTGTGATATCACATTTGAATACATTATTATCTCGCGCGTTGAATGCCCATCCCATCCCACCATCTGACGATAAAGGATAAAGCACACGGCCGCGACACTTTTCTCATAAAAAGTGTTGTTTTACAATTTTTATATGTAGCTGAGCAGGAGGGGGTTTATACCCCCACCCCACCTCTCTGGATCCGCCTCTGCGCAAATTAAACATAATGGATTTTATATGTTTGTATTGAGGAGTAACAGTTACTAGCAGCATGAATTCTATAATTCTTGAAGCTTGCAAATAAACCTGTTAGCCAGACGAGCTAGCGCATAGTTATTGATATCTAATCTGGAGATTACCAAGACACGTGTAAGTGTTCTGTTGGGAATTTTGTTTACGTTTCTAAGATTGTAAAATATGGTTATATCTAGTCCGAAATAACACAAATGTTTATGATTGATTCAAGTTGTAAATAAATATGTTGGCTTTTTATGGGCATTTATTTTGTGGGCCCTGGTTCAGCTGCTGAAAACTACAAAAAGATGGATAAATGATTTCTAAATAAGAGGGAGGGGTGGGAAGGGGGAATGGGGATGGGGTGGGGGGGGGTCACGGTGGGTAAGACGCTGGCTCGCTAGCCTAAAGGTCGGGTGTTCGATCCCTGCACTGGCCGAGAAAGTTCATCCAGATTTTCCGGCGTGGTTCTCCCTTGTCAGTGATGCAAGAAGGAGGGCCTGACATGGACAGCTGTCTAGTTGTTCGGATGGGACGAAAAACCGAGATCCCGTGTACACATTGGCGTGCACGTAAAAGATCCCTTGGCAGTTGGAATTCGATATAAGAGTAGGCCGTAGTGCCGCAGTCCGGACAAAATTTCCCTCGTAGCACACTGTATGGCGTATGCCCGTCTTCATTAGCCCAGTTCGGAGAAGGACAGCAGGACGTTAAACCCATTTCATTTCATTTCTAAACAAGGCAGGTTGGGATGGCCTAGTGATCTACAGTTACGCATCGACCTCTAGCTGGATGGTCACCTCTGGTTGCGGTTGTGGTTTCGATCACTGGTGTGAGCGTAGGTTGCTTGGAGATAGGGGCGCCTTCTCAACCTCGTGGATTCAGATTCACCCCGGTAATAAAATAAAAATGACAATAAGACAATTTGTCTGCGATATCACCTTCGGTGGAAGCGGTCATTAAACATTTCTAAATATATTAATCTTTCCCGACAAGAAAAGTAGGGCGTTAAACTTCATTTCATTTCACATTACCTATGTGATATGATCATCTAAAAAAATATAATAAGAAGTTGCATCAAGTGTTCTTGATTATTGTGGCTCGTTAAATTAACAATTCATTATACCCCCCTCCCCTTGGAGAGCTTTATATTTCTGACTAAATATAAGTGAGAACCTTAAAATTATGTTTTTTATAATATTTATTAGGTACACTTATTAAATATATTTCATTTTATTTTGTGGGCTCTGGTTCAGCTGCTGAAGGGGGGTTGGATGGCCGAATGGTTAGCTGTATCATACGGTCTGTTATTGAGTCAACTGGCGTGGATTTCGATTCCCCGCTTGTACGTGAAAAGGAGTAGGGTCGCTTGTCCAACCTCGTGGATTTTCCGTGTGCATGTTGTGAATAATCTTTTTTCTGATGTCTCCCTTACAGATGCAGTGCCAAATATACGACTAAAGGCAAAGACATAAATTCCAGTTGAAGTCCACCAGCTAAACGACTGTGTCAAGATGGATAAACCGAAAAGAAGCTTCGAATTTCGTATGTCGAAAAAAGTTGCAGAACTGACCCAGGTTGTCCACATGTTATTCACGCGAAATCACGAGAAGGAAGTGGAAATGGAGGCATTGAAAGATGCTTATGAACACGAAATAGAACTTGTTATTGGTGACGCCAAACAAAGGATAGCAAAATTAGAGGCGGAACTTTCGGAATTAAGTAAAAACAAATCAACATCAAAAAATATTGAAGAAAAACATCGGGAGGCTTTAAAATCTCAGCAGGACGATTACGAGAAAAGACTTAAACAGACAGAAATATTATTGCAAGAGGAAAAAACCGAATGTCAAAACTTACGGGATATGTTAATCGGTGCGCAGAGTGATATTGAAAAATTACGTCAGGGCGTCTCTGAGCAGCTTACGTCTAAAAGTGAAGAACTATTTAAAAGGGAGAGTGAGTTAGAAAAACTACGAAAACATTCGAATTTATTAGAGAAAAAACTAAAAGAGGTGGATAAAGATATGAATTTTGCCATACGCGAATCTGATCGCAACACGCTGATGCTACAAGACGAACTTCAACACATGCACTGTTCACTTGATGAGAGTCTTAAAAATCGAGACATGCTCATTGGTAGAAATAAACAATTAGAAAATGAGTTAAAAAATGCTAAAAAAGATTTTAATAGGAGAGTTTCAGAAGCGGTGTCCAATCATGTCGGTCGAATTTCTAAAAGCGCTCACCATTCAGTAAGTGTTAAAATTATAAAACATAACCAAATTATGTTCAAAACATGATCAAATTATGTTCAAAACATGATCAAATTATGTTCAAAACATAATCAAATTATGTTCAGAACATAATCAAATTATGTTCAGAACATAATCAAATTATGTTCAAAATAACATCAAATTATGTTGAAAACATAATCAACAAATTATGTACGCACTGTGGAGAGACATTCCCGCCTGCTCTTCGTCGAAGCCCAATTGTCAAGGGATCTTACATGCACGCCGACTAGTAGCAGTACTCAGGTGGAAATTGGTTTTCGCGCTATTCGAAGGAATATATGCTTTTTCTTGGCAGGTCCTCCGTCTTGCACCACTGATGAATGAAAAAGCAGTCAAACAAATTCGAGGACCCAATCGGGATTTCCTGGTTAGTGAGACAGCTTCGTACCCTATGTCAAAACTCGGTTCTGCATCAGTTCACGGGCATTGAAGGACAAAATGTACACGAAAATCTGTAATTGAAGATTTTGAATTTTCCCAGGGATTCTGTTTATTAATCATGACCCAATAAACAATCCACACAAATCTGAAATTATTCCTGGACCAACCAAAACGGGAAATCGCAATACATGTCCAAATAAAATACAGGTCCCTAGACCATGTCAGGGTAGGGTGTGTTCAGGGTGCCCCCTACCCCCATTATGTGTAGCATTGAAATTGACACCCCCAGTTTGCAATATCCCATTCCGTAATCGGCTCTTACAAATATCTGGGTGTGAAATAAAATGTTGGTGTAATTTTATCGAATGTTCCCGGGGTTAAGTTCTACATTGCTCCGGCATCTCAAATACCCCCAACAGGCCAAAACCTTCGTCCAATTTCGCTGAACTGGCGATGATGTGCTTTTTCTAGTTTGATAAAAGTTCTTTTATGGACTGTTCTATTTTATTAAGGGAAAACAGTTGAATTTACTGTATATTCAATTTTTCCATTCCTGTCTTTTCCATAATAATAGGATAGTGAAGAATTAGAGAGGCTCAGAAAGGAAGTAAGAAAATATAAACTAGAATTAAGCAACAGAGACTGGAATTTTAACAGAATGTTCACTGAAAAACAACCAATATTTGTTGACCATCGAGCCTCAAAACCGGCACAGCAGCCACCACGAGCACCTTCACCAGCAAACTGTTCAGCTCCAGTTCATCCATCATCAGCACCGTTTCAGAGAGAAAGGTCTTTTTCTCAAATTATAACATTACCCCACGACGAGAAGGTAAATATTATAATTCATTAGTGGTTAGTGCTAAATGATAAGGCCAGCTCAATTTTTCATCATAGGTTACGAGATGTAAACAGGTGTAGCGCTAATTCCAACCCTAACCCTAGCCCTGGCCCTAGTCCCAATGCTTACCATAACCCATAACCCTAACCTACAATCTCGCCAACACTCACGTGCCCTAACCTCATTTACATCTCAGCGACCACGACAAAAATTGAGTTGGCCTTAACAAATAGATTTAGCCATTCCTAGAGCGGTATCGTGATCCCAAGAGGTATTGAAAAGAGTTTAACACATGGTGTTCAGAATTATTTTGCGATGCAATGTAACCGGGCAGGATTATGCGGCAACAGATACAGATAGAGAGAGAGAGAGAGAGAGGGGAGATAGAGAGAGAGAGAGAGAGAGAGAGAAATGGTGTTTAACGTCCACTCGACACAAACTAGGTCATTTCGGGTCTAACATATGGTTTAATTTTATTTCAATGATTAGCTTGCGCGTAGGGGTGTTTAGCAGTGGGGGGAAACCGGAGGACCCAGAGAAAACCATCCGGGGGGGGGGGGGGTGGATGGCCGAATGGTTAGCACGTGCGCGCTGTATTATAAAGTCTGGCGGGGTTTCGATTCCCCGTTTGTAACCTGTGACAAGGAGTAGGGTCGCCTGTCCAACCTTGTTGGTTTTCTCCATGTCCTCCGGTTTCTTCCCATTGCTAAAGACCAAACGCGAATTAATGGAATAATATTGAACATATGTTAGTTCCAAAATGACTTAGTTTGTGTCGAATGGACGTTAGACCCCCCCCCCCTCTCTCTCTCTCTCTCTCTCTCTCTCTTAGCCATGTAGGAGCAGTAAAAGGGGAGTTAAACCCCATTCATTACTCCATCGTGCCGTTTCACTAATGTCATCGTAACCTTATCTTACGCTGACGTCAGATGTAGTAACAAACACGTAATTACTATAATATTACGACAAATATCATATAAAACTCCCGCTATGAAGCCAATCAAATGTCGACTTCGGTCACGAATACAATACGATAAAAAACAGCCATATTATTATCGAGTGTATCTAGCAGTAACGGGAAGCCAAGCCAGAAAAAAATGGAATTTCTGTTTGAATGCCCCTCCCCCCTCAAAGGAAAACAAACCCAAACCCCCCAAACAAATCCCACCTGTATCGCATTAAAGGGGCATTAGGTAAGATTAGATAAGGAGCTCACAGTTCTCGCTATAATAGTTAAAAATTAGATAATGTAGGCCTATAGGGAATATGCTGAAAATTTCAGTCAAATTGCTCCACTCTCAACCGAGATATTAGCGATTCAAGTCTAGATTATCCATTTTTACGTTAAATCTTTCACCACATAACGTATTCAAATCCACTAAATATCACAGGCTAACGATGGCATCATTTATACCATGGTCTTGATAAGTTAATTTAGATAACATTTAGAAAGATCTGCAATATGCAGATTTAGCTCTTGCATTATGTATGTTTAATGGACAAACAGAGGGGTCTCAATATTTGAACACAGACCTACTCACATATCAATGTCTGTATACCACCAATGGGTTTACAGGTCGATTCCAAGAAATGCATGCATTCCCATATGAACACACAAACTCATTTGCTACGTCAAAACGAAAAATGACTCTTTAAAATAAAAAGCTGGTGGGTTGAATGGTCTGTCACTGAGTCATTTGGCGTGATTTCGACTCTCCGGTTGTACGTGACAAGGAATAGAGTCGCCTGTCAAACCTCGTGGGGTTTCTCCGGGTCTTCCGCCCCCGCCCCCCTCACTGCCACAGACCCCTACGCGCAAGCGAATTATTGAAATAAAATAGAGCCATATTAGTCACGCTAGACCTCTCTCTCTCTCTCTCTCTCTCTCTCTCTCTCTCTCTCTCTCTTTTTAAAAAAAAACAAACTCGTGTTACTCTTTAAATATGTCTTCTTCTGTATTTGTGATAGCAGTTAGTTCCCCTTGGTTAAAATTGTACATTACCCCATTCGCTGATTCCAATCTACCCAATTTATTTACTTTTAATTCATAAATTTATTATTTCAGAAGGTGGGTTTACTGACTACACGACCAGCATCAGCAGCAGTCAATTCTTTACCAACATTATCACCAAGTCCATCATTCTCAGAGCGAACCAGATTCACAAAACTCGTGAAACCAAGGCCTTTATCTAAGGAGATGCTGTACTCTAAATGAAATATTTTATTTGTTTGTTTTTGTTGTAATAAAAGTCTTTTATTTCAAATAATTGAATAATATTTAACACCATATCCCCAGCCGTATCTTCCCGGTTGGACGTGACAAAGAGTAAGGTCGCCTATCCAACCTCGTGGGTTTTCTCCGGGTTCTCCGGTTTCCTCCCACGCGAGTTGTTGAAATAAAAATTGAACCATGTGTTCGTCCCGAAATGACCTAGTTTGTGTCGAGTGGACATTAAACCCCATTCCCCCCTCTCTCTCATTCCAAGGGGAGCCATGGTGGCTCAGCGAGTAAGGTGCTGGCTCACCAACCAGTAAGTGCCAGTGTTGGCCAGGACAGGTTCGATCCCAGTGTTGGCCAGTCGTATCAGTCGTATCACACTTTACTCTAAACGTCTGGACACACCCTATACTGGCGCAATGATTCCGGCGGGCGAAAATCAAAGGGATTTAAAGTAGCCAAGTCTCTAAGTCGGTATCATCCAAAGTCTTCGACATTGAAAACATGAATTATTTGTCAATTCAGGTCAACATTGATGTTGTGATCTTACCGGGAAAAGGTGGGCTTCTGATATCCAATATTTGAGACAAATAAACATTTTGCCATTGGTACACGAATCGTGTACCATAATGCGTTTCAGCGCCATTTGTAACTCGAAGAACAAGGCTAGTCATATTCCCCAAGTCATGTCAAACGGTGACGTCATATTCTAATCTGGAGAGCATGTGCAATAAAATACTTTCGGCGTAGACTGAAATAATCAGACGCTATAGCTTGCCATTCGATTGAGACTTCTGACGTATTTTGCCGAACATAACTGATTTGAAATTAGAGTAAAAACAGAAACGATTGAATGTAAATCAGTTTATATACATTATTATATACGTTGCGTCCCATTTATGTCAATTTCTAGATCCCAAATTCCAGGCCCCAAATATTAGCGATTTAGTTCCTTTAATGCCTCGTCTTAAATGAACAACCACATTCATATCATAAAAAAAAAATACGGTTAATAATTTTAGACCGTGGAATGTAAATGAGTTATCAGAAATCGTTCTAAATTAATACGGCATTTCCTTTAGAGAGGAACACCCTATGAAAAATTTAAAAATTGATTAAGTCGGAATTGTAGTCTTCGGAGAGAAAACAAGATATTATAAAGACACAAGAGAGAGAGAGAGAGAAATGGGGTTTAACGTCCACTCGACACAAACTAGGTCATTTCGGGACTAACATATGGTTTAATTTTATTTAATTAATTCGCTTGCGCGTAGGGGTCTTTAGCAGTGGGAGGAAACCGGAGGACCCGGAGAAAACCCACGAGGTTGGACAGGCGACCCTACTCCCTGCCACGTACAACCGGGGATTGGAAACCACGCCAGTTGACTATAAAGACACAATATGACCGCATTGAGATGTAGGAGTGTATAGCAGAGTATCGTAATCTAAACGTCCACGCATGTATTTTGTGTTAAATCATCATGGCAGCTATGGTTAGTACTAAATGATAAGACCAGCTCAAGTTTTCGTCATACGTCACGAAATGTAAACAAGGCTAGCGCTAATCCCAACCCTAAACCTCACCCCTATGACCTAGCCCCAATGCTTACCCTAACCCTAATCTAAAATCTCGTCGACAATCACGTGCACTACCATTATTTACATCTCATCGACCTTGACAAAAATTAAGCTGGCCTTAACAAATAGATTTAGCCCTATATAACACTGCAGGTGACCATTTCCCAGAGGTTACAATGCAGCCTGCGAATCCAAAGTTCAAATCGAAACAATCTTGAGTTACACTTTGATGGCACTGTTTCAATCTCTCTGTCAACACTTGTACGTGACAAGGAGTAGGGTCGCCTGTCCAACCTCGAGGGTTTCCTCCGGGTCACCCGGTTTTCTCCCACTGCTAAAGACCTATACACACAAGCGATTTATAGAAATAAAATTGAACCATATGTTAGTCCCGAAATTACCTAGTTTGTGGTTTTCTATTTAACGTTATGGGGCCACGGTGGCTAAGTGAGTAAGACGCTGGCTCAATGACCTAGCTGGAGGTCGCGGGTTCTCTCCCAGTGTCGGTTGAGAAAGTTTTGCAGGCCTCTTGGCCTAACAAGGACAGCTGTCTAGTCGTTCGGATGGTACAGAAAATCGAGGGCCCGTGTACACACTAGTGTGCATGTAAAAGACCCCTTGGTAGTTGGAATTCGATATAAGAGTAGGCCGTAGCGCCGCTGTCCGGGCAAAATTTTCCTCAGCACACTGTATGGCGTACTCCCGTCCTCATTAGCCCAGTATAGGAGCAGAACAGTGGAACGTTAAACCCCATTTCATTTTATTTATAGGGGGGTTGGATGGGCGAATGGTTAGCGTGTGCGCGTTGTATCATAAGATCTGTGACAAGGAGCAGGGCCGCTTGTCTAACCACGTGGGTTTTCCCCGGACCCTCTGGTTTTCTCTCACAATTAAAGACCCATACGCGCAAGCGAATTATTGAAGTAAAATTGAAACATATGTTAGTCCGGAAATGACCTAGATTATAACGTTGTCTATTAAATAGTGAGGGTGTTCTAATCCATTTAAATCTCAGCCGCCCGATGTTCTAGAGAGTTGATTATAGGCTTGTCATGTCAATATATGTCTAAATAATAGTTTTGGGGGGTTGGATGGCCGAATGGTTAGCACGTGCGCGTGGTATCATAAAGCCTGTCATTGAGTCAACTGGCGTGGTTTCGAATCCCCGGTTGTACGTGACAAGGAGTAGGGTCGCCTGTCCAACCTCGTGGGTTTTCTCCGGGTCCTCCGGTTTCCTCCCACTGCTAAACACCCCTACGCGCAAGCGAATTATTGAAATAAAATTAAACCATGTTAGTCCCGTAATGACCTACTGTGTGTCGAGTGGACGTTAAACCCCATCTCTCTCTCTCTCTCTCTCTCTCTCTCTCTCTCTCTCTAATAGTTATTATAACATCTGAACCCAGAAAGAAGATCTGCAATCGGCAGACTTAGTTCTTGCATAATGCATCTTTAACAATCTGAACAAAACCAGAAAAGTCCATATATGCCGGCGCCAATAAGCTTTAGAATGCAAACGTACACCACTGACAAGGTGGGCGTATAAAGACGTAAACAAGTATATTTGTATATATCACCTGTCTTCACTAGCCCACTGGCAGCTACATACAAAAAAATTAAAACAACACTTTATGAGAAAAGTGTAAGGGTCGTGTGCTTTATCCATTATCATCAGATGTTGGGATGTGATTGGCATTCAAAGCGCGAAATAATGATTTAGACATGAGTGATATCACAATTAATGCTTTGCGTCATTGAAAATGCATTACAATGTGATCGTATTAATTCATTATAAAAATTGACATTAAACGGTGTGTTGGGTTTTTCCCCTAAAATACCACTCTTGTTGTAACTGAATAATATGTCCCAATCTTTATTCTGGTCAACAAATTGTACTATTTTACAATATTCCAATTAATTAGTGATACAAATTTCATCTTAACACACCTAATTTAAAAAATTGGAAAACTTCAACTAAATGATTTGAAAAGCCTAACGTAAACCTTTTCAAATGTGACTTGGGTTTAAAAATATTTTCGAACTCTCTGGACAAGTAAAATAGGATGTAATGGATAATTTACACAACAGGTAGGATACTTAAACATCTAGTACTTAGAATAAGGCTATTATTTATTTTCTGGAGCTGTCAAGCCAGCAAGAGTGTTATTGTCCCTTTAAGATTCCGAAGGGAGGCGCGTCCACGGTGCCGTTCGCCGTGGACCGTCAAGTAGGTACGTCGCCCCCCCCCCCCTCCAACATTTTTCTGGCTAGCTACGGGCCTGTTTCTGACAGTGGAGCGGAATTTATATTTTAAAGGGATTGGCTGACCTGAAATTCCAGAGGGAGTTTGGGGATGGGGGGTGGAGAGGGATATTTCGGGAGTTTTTAGTAATTGCTGTAGAATCATTTCTGTGCGGGAAAACACCCACTAGATACATTTTGAATAGTGAGGAAGCCCGTAGACAATTATCACGGGATGTAATTACCGTCATTTGGAAACTTTTAGTTGAATTGTGAGGTGGTGAAAAAAGGTGCTAATTATATAGTACGTCAAAAAGATCGCTCGCTAAATGGGTTGGCAAAATTTACCTTTTGCGATCACCTGTAAAAACTGGTCGGCGAACGCCAACCCAAGCGCTCCGGTTCCCGCGCCACAGAATACGTTTCCCCTTGTCAGTGCAGATGCAGGACGGAGGGCATGACAAGGACAGCTGTCTAGTCGTTCGGGTGGGACGAAAAACCGAGGTCCCGTGTACATATTGGCGTGCACGTAAAAGATCCCTTGGCAGTTGGAATTCGATATAAGAGTAGGCCGTAGCGCCGCTGCCCGGGCAAAATTTCCCTCATAGCACACTGTATGGACTATGCCCGTCTTCATTAGCCCAGGTTAGGAGCAGAACAGTAGGACGTTAAACCCCATTTCATTTCGCCACTGCATACGGAAATTTGAAATTGTTGCTCACAGCCACAGCCCAGAGTTGAAACCATGATTTCTAGAAATGTTAAATCTTAAATGTTAAGACTATGGGGGAATCCCCAGAGAATTCTGAAAAACGGAACCCTGTGGATGCCATTTGAATTTCCAACTATTTCGGCCCCCTCCCCCGCTTCTATCTATCTGCGCCTGAGCACATAGCCCCCCCCCCCCCCCCACTCCGGGTCTTGACGATTCACGTACCTTTCGCAATTCTTGCATTCCCTTTTCTCTGAAACGTCAGTTTTGAAAAGTTAAGCTGTGTTAGTTAAGTGGATCCGATAAAGCCACATCTGTCTTAATTTGACTTCTGAAAATCGTAAACAGTTTGCGACTTTATGATGATGATGTCATGTCGATCTGTCCATAATATCTCGGGCCCATTTGATTTTCTTAAACACAAATTTGCCGTGACTGAATCACGTCCGGTTTCCTTTTATTTAATTTTATTAACAAAAGAAAAAATTGTGGATTCGCAATCCTAGCTACAACCATAAAACTGCCTGCTGACTGACAAGACCAGCTTGCATACGATCAGTTTATTTTTCAACTACTGGAGACTGCCGATTGTCAGGCCGAAACAGCTGATACCCCACACGGAGAAACAGTAACTTTCGCGGGTGTTGCTTGTTTCTTCCAATGAAAAAGGAGTATTTCTCTTTGACGTCATTTCCAGTGAAGGAAAACTGCCACGCCCACTGCACGCGGTCAGAAGATTTGTTGCGTAGATAGACTGAAAGTGTGTCTGCTAGTTGGGGAATATAACAACACTGACAGATTTAACGGTTTATTCGATAAAAAATTGCGGTCTATTTACAGTTAGTATTACTTTATTCCGTGACATTAAAGTTATTAACATTGGTGGCTTGAAGTTAACCAGATATTGAAAATAAAGCGAGGATATTTCAAGAACACAACAAAGACTTATTATAACACGGGCTTGTGCGTGGTGAGGGCGTGACGGTTTTACATTGCTTAGAGACGTCGACAGGACGAATTAACGTTACAAATGCCATAAGATGACCCAAGAAATAAAGGATGGACACGATGAAGATACTAATTTAGCTGCTGAGAGTCTTGTGGCAATGTCAAAGGCTCTAACTGCAACCGAAGAAAACATAAACGCAAATTTAGTAAAAACTTCCGAAAATAGACATTCTGATAAGCGAGGTGTTGTTACCACAACAGAGCTAGGTCAACCTGATTCTTTGTTCATGCTTGCCAGAATTCTGACTGATTTACGTTCAATTAAACAAGAACCGGTTGATATTGAATACGACAGTGAAGGATATTGCAGTTTTGTGCAAGAAAACGAAAAAAATCGTGAAAATTTGCCAACCAATTCGAGGCCCAGAAAGCAAATATTTCAAGCGACCACGCCCACTTGTCTTCATAAAATGGAAACCACAGAGGACCAGAAATCCCGGAAAATCATAATGCAGAGAGAGAATACCATGGCATCAAAAAAGTTGCACACATGTCATTACACAGGTTGTGAGAAGGTTTATGGAAAGAGTTCCCATCTCAAGGCACATTTGAGGACTCACACAGGTAAAGTATTTCTACACAGTAGCTCTAGTTAGTAGCCCTATGAATATCATGACATATAACAGCTTGTAATTAATCATTATTTACACCGGTTAAATTTTTTGTCTAGATAACCAGAATCTGTCCATCGCTCACATATTGTATTGCATGTACAGCGGCCAATGTTTAGATTATGAAATGACCCAGGCTGTGTTTCTAAAGGAATACTAACTTAATTATAGTCTTTACATGTTTCCATGGCACGATAGCCTATTCCAAATTAATTGATTTAGAATTTGATGCAGTCCAGTCCCCACAACAGATGTGGCGTTTGTAGAATCATGATGTAATTGCGGAGATATATTCTAAATTGGTTGATACTGGTACACATGTGTTCTTTGCCCAATATTTACATAAGCTTATTAATAGTACATAGGTAAGAGTTATTTATAGAATGGAGACAATCCTCAATTGACAGCGAGAGAAATGGGGCTCACTTAACACAAACTGGGTCATTTCTAGACTAACATTATTTCAATAATTTGCTAGGGCATGGGTGTTTCGTAGAAATAGTTCCACTTCTGATGTCAATTGACTACAAAAAATTACTGGCCTATAACTCCCTTAATTTCCAATAACACTGACCCCATACTGTACTGTACATAGCTCAACATATAATAAACCAATTCCCATTGAAATAAAGGTAAAACCTTACCGTATAATTATATGATTTGATTAAACCCAACTGCTATGCGAAATTTCTGTTCAGTTTAAAATGGCTGCCGAATCAGAATCACAGGGTGTCATGTCACTCGAAAAACTGTTCGGTAAGATAAGATTATGATTTCAGTGTTCCACTCTTCACTATTTGTAACATAAAATTACTTATTTCCATGCAAAATGTGAAGATATGTGTTAAAAATTTTGCAATTGAACCTAATTTGACTTGCTGAAAGCCTCGAATAAATTGCAGCTAGGGTCTTTAACAGTGGGAGGAATAACCGAATAAAATCCACAGACAACCTACTCCTTTCATGCAAGGGGGGTTGGGTAGTTAATTGGTTGTGTGTGTGAAGTCACAAAATCTGTCATCGAGTCAAGTGGCTTGGTTATGATTCCCTGCTTGTACGTGACAAGGAGTAGGGTCGCCTGTTCAGCCACTGCTAAAGACCCATATGTGCTAGCGAATTATTGAAATAAAATTGAAACATGTTAATCCCGAACTGACTTAGATTGTGTCGAGGGGACTTTAAAACCCCATTCCTTTATCTCTCTCCCTTGTAAGGTGTACAAGTGTGGAATGAAAGTCATGTCGGTTCATTCAGTGACAAACGTATGATCTAAAGGGCATGGGTTTACCCTTTGAGTAGGTGAAATACCAGGGTAAAAATATATATTAAGACAGACAAACAGGAGAAGGGAGTTGATAAATGAAATGTATTTTAACGTCCTACTGTTATACTCCCAACAGGGCTAATGAAGACGGGCATACACCATAGTGTGCTATGAGGGGAACTTTGCCCAGACGGCGGCACTACAGCCTACTCTTATATCGAATTCCAACTGTCGGGATATTTTTTTGTGCATGTCTGTGTGTACACGGGACCTTTGTTTTTTGTCCAATCTAAACAACTAGACAGCTGTCCTTGTCAGGCCCTCTGGCTCTGTCCTGTATCACGGACAAGAGGGAACCACGCCAGCGTCTTAACCACCGTGACCCCCAGGAAGTTAATAAGTGAATGGTTGGCATTTATAAATTGTTTTGTGAGATACTTTACAAGAATAACAAAGTTCATTTCTTCGGCTTTGAATCAGATATGATCAGAATCTTTTAATAACTCATTGGCATATGGTTATACATGTATATGTACCTAATGTCAAGGTGATGTCTTGTTGGGTTGACTTGTGGACAGGACAAACTGTTCTGTTTAGGGGGGGTTGGATGGCCAAATGGTTAGCACGTGCGCTGTATCATACGGTCCGTCATTGACTCAACTGGCGGGGTTTCGATTCCCCGGTTGTACTTGACAAGGAGTAGGGTCGCCTGTCCAACCTCGTGGGTTTTCTCCGGGTCCTCCGGTTTCCTCCCACTGCTAAAGACCCCTACGCGCACACGAATTATTGAAATAAAATTGAACCATGTGTTAGTCCCCAAATGACCTAGTTTGTGTCGAGGGGACGTTAAACCCCATTTCTCTCTCTCTCTCTCTCTCTCTCACTCACATGTATAGTTAAATTATTCAATGGGCTAGAGATTTTATTATAGGCTTGTCATGTGAAAACACATCTGATAACAGAGAAACACCTGAAATAATGTAGTCAGATTTTGCTCTTACTTAATGTATCCTGTAGATGTATTTTCTTTCTTTCATCCATACTTTATGATTGCCATTTAAAAACACCTTGGCCTTTAAGGAAATAACAAATTGTTCATCTTAAAATGAATGACGTAAAGAGAGGAAAATTAAACCTTTAATCACACCTTTTAGGAAGAATAATCTTTTGGGCTGAAAAGATATTTGTTGATGTAGACAAGTCGAAAGAGCCAGTGATGCTTTAATAGTTAACACATAGACATAAAAAGCAAGATAAAAACACAATATGTCTACCTACAGGTCTTAATTTGAATACAGGTGATAGAAGAGTAAATAAAGACAAGGGTTCAAAAGGGACAGGTGGCGTGTGTCTGAAGTGTGGTGTGTACCTATATTGAATGACCCATATGTTCTGCTGAATATTGACCTTTCATACATCACTTTATAAAATAATTTAACAACCATAATATAGACTTATTAAATTCAAATGTTAGTTGATTCGTTACTGTGGGAAAAAGAAGGCTTGGTCAGATAATACTTGAACTCCTGACCTTTACAATAGACAGTTATAAAGCATGTTTAGTTTAGTTACATGTACAGGTAGAAGAAACTCATGTACCTGTACAGGTAGAAGAGACTCGTGTACCTGTATGTTAAACAGTTTCTGTGTTACACAGAGTTACACTGCTCACATCCTCTCTTGATGACCACATGTATGTATTTTAACCAGTCTCTGTGCTGCAAGGTTAAGTCTATTTCACAAGGCCACCTGCAGATCTCCCCAAGGTAACGAGATGTTAACAAGGTTAGGGCCGAGGATTGTGGGTTCCGATAAGGCTTAGGGCTAGGTTAAGGGTTAGCCCTGTGTACATTTCGTGATCTATGTGAAATAGATCTATCCATGTTACACTGTCTACACGAACACACAGTCTGGGAACATTATATATTAGTCTAAGAATTGTCAGTCCATCAAGATTCAATATGCTTAAAAAGCAAATCCTATTTGGTTTCATTTTTATAGATCAAAATTTTGATGTGAGGGATTAGGCAATAAAACCATCTGTTGCAGCGAGTTCTTGGTGTGCAATGCATGGAACTGTGGGTATTCCACTAGAAACACCAACACTGATTGGTTAATCAAATGTCTGACGCCATAGGGTGAAAGGCAGCTTGTATGACCCCTCACGCAACCTCCCATTACAACTGCTCAGATCTTCGTGTAGTAGAGGCCATCAAAAGTATAGTCATTTCGGGACTAACAATTAACATGTTTCAATTTTATTTCAGTAATTCGCTTGCGCGTATGGGTCTTTAGCATTGGGAGGAAACCGGAGGACCCGGAGAAAACCCACGAGGTCGGACAGGCAACCCTACTCCTTGTCACGTACTACCGGGGAATTGAAACCACATCACTTGACTCATTGACAGACCTTAAGATACAACATGCACACGTTGACCATTCGGCCACCCAGCCCCTAAATCACTGTTAACCCGTTAAGTGCGTAGGTTGTTATATAACGTCCTGGACAACTGCCACTCACTGTGTGTAGGGTGTAATATAATGCCTTGGAGGTATTTTCCCCAACCTATTCTTAGAACATAGTTCGTCTCTTGGGGGAATCCCTTGGGAACATAGAACATTCTTAGAACATAGTACATAGTTCTTCGTCACTTTGTCAAATTAATTACACAATAGGGGGTAGTTAACGTTTTAAAATCGTCACGCTTAACGGAATAAATGTATAGACGTTTAAATAAATAACTCTGTACAGGAGTACGTCTCGCTACTTGAAATACAAAACCGAAAAGACAAACCTGTGGACAAAACAAACTACAAGGACATCGCAAGAAATAAACAACAAAAAATCAGTCCTTCATATTTAAGGGGAGCTTTTGCTCCTGTTCCTCTCGACACACGTCAGCTTTCCTTCGAAGGAGTCATTAAAGACTCCTGCAAATTAGCTAAATCGCTCTCCTAAATATGCGCGCTATATCATAAGGTCTATCATTGAGTCAACTGACGTGGTTTCGATTCCCTGGCTCTACGTGACAAGAAGTAGAGTCAACTGTCGACTGTTCAAACCCGTGGGTTATTTCCGGGTCCTCCGGTTTCCTCCCACTGCTAAAGACCCATACGCGCAAGGTCAGCAAGCGAATTATGGAAATAAAATTGAAACATGTTAGTCCCGAAATGACTATACTTTTGATGGCCTCTACTACACAAAGATCTAACCAGTTGTATTGGGAGGTTGTGTCAGGGGTCATACAAGCGGCCTTTTACCTTATGGCGTCAGACATTTGATTAACAAATGTGTTAGTTCCGAAATGATCTAGTATGTGTCGAGTGGACGTTAAACCCCATTACTCTCTCTATCTCTTTATATTTCCATTTATATCATACTGACAAGACATAGCCACTAATTATCATCAGTAGGGTACAGGGTAGATAAAATATAAATTTGTTTCTAAAAACAACGAATAGAATTTATAAATATAATTTATATTATGACATGACTCCATGCACTTGACATTTTGCAATATGAAACATTCGAGATGGGGAAATCCTGAAAATATAAACAATATTTATCGTGAACGTTTTATCATAAAATCTCATTATTTATTGAAACTTTCTTATAACTAATATAAACATGGCGCCAAGATTCAGGAACAAAATTATATAAATATATCTATATATACTAGTATATTGCTGTCACCTCGGTTGGTCCCTTGATACCTTGTCCATCAATATCTTGTGACTACTCTTGTCCGTCAATATCTTATGACTAATTTTGCTTGTGGCTTATTAAAATAATTAACTAATCTTAAATAGTATGCATCCAAATAACTAGTTTTTTTTAGATAATGTACCTCCTATTTCCACCAATCTAATTAAAATAGAGATCTATATTTCGTTTCGTTTTTTTTATACTTTCGATGGCCTACACTACATGAAGATCTGACTCGTTGTGGTGGGTGGGGGGGGGGCATGTCAAGGGTCATGCGTGGGGCTTTTGACCCTATGATGTCAGAAATTTGATTAACCAATCAGCGTTGATGTTTCTAAATGTAGTAGGATACCCACATTGCCGTGCACCACACATACCTGTTTCATTGACTAATCCCTCACATCATCAGAGTGCGGGTTATATAACAACTCTTCCAGATCCTAGTGTAGTAAAGACAAGTAAAACGAAATTTTGAACTATAAATTATAATAAATCAAAACCTGTGTTAAATTACATGTATTTAGTGTTGTTACAAATTTCTACGGGATAAAAATGACTGTTCATGTGTAATGAAGTTTATAATATCAATTTTTGTATTGTCAGTCTAATGCAAATGTTTTTATAGGGTTGCTTAAAATCACTGCCAACCAGTGGCATTATTTACAGTTTCTGTAATGCAAACAAATATACAGTATTCTAATTTTGTCAACGATTAAAGATACTTTCCCGCGTACAAACTGTGTGATTTGATATATTTGGACTAAAGATATATTCAAACTAAATTAATTTGCTTGAAGTCCCTCTCAAAACTATAAATAAACTGTTGAGAGAGGTTCCATTTTGCAAAATGTATTTTTCGTTACTTACTGTCCAATTACTGTCATAATTATTTTTTGTCAACTACTTTTTCCACGGTTTATTTGCAGAGTCTTTTTTACGTTGACACCCCTCAATGTTCCCAAAACTGCCTATCCATTTGATCAAGAAATAATAACTGCTCGTTGAGTCAACTGGCGTGGTTTCGATGCCCCAGTTGTATGTGACAAGGTGTATATTTGCCTGTCCAACCTCATGGGTTTTCTCTGGGTCCTCCGGTTTCCTCCCACTGCGAAAGAACCTTACGGGTAAGCGAATTATTGAAATAAAATTAAACCATATGTTAGTCCCAAAATGACCTTGTTTACGTTAAACCCAATTTCTCTCCCTCTCTTTAATATACATGTATATAAAATCGTAGTTAATTTCACGAGTAAAACTACTTATTTGCGTGTTGACTGTCCCATTTCAAAGGTTTTTTCCTGGTTTTCAGACTCCTAAAGAACATTAAACTCGAGCGAATTATTGAAATAAAATTGAACTATACGTTAGTCCCGAAATGACCTAGTTTACTGTACCCAAAATATAGAAGGCCTATTTTTGATTTCGTCTACAAAAATTAGTGTTGTGTTTCATCAAATTATGTCTTGTCCCAGATCCTCATCAGAATCTTTATTAACTTACAAAACCACGAATAATTTCCTTGTTAAAATTAGATAATTTATTTTGATTATATTTTCAGGTGAAAGACCATTTCCTTGTACCTGGGAAGCATGTGAAAAAAGATTTGCTAGATCTGATGAACTTGCTCGTCACATCCGGACACATACAGGTAAATTATAGTAATTTATTATACCCACATGAAAGATGAGACAAAAAAACAAACCTCCAGTTGCTTTTGCTTTCTTCTGAGTCAAAATATTCCTTCTCATATAGCGTAATTAAATACCTTTTGCCGTCGCCCCCTTTCGTACATATGTACGTCCGTCGTCCACAGTTTCTTGTGAACACTCTACAGTCTACATTTATCATCGGATTGTTTTGAAATTGATATATGAGATCAAGAAGCCTATTTAATTTCCATAATTTCTGTTAATTTCTTCTGGAGTAATGGCCCTTGTTTCACTTTGTTGAACCTTGTGAATGCTCTTACTCCAATAGTTATCATCCGATCTATATGAAATTTATATTCATCATTTAAATTCATGAAAGGAAGAAGCCTATTGAAATTCAGCAATTTCCGTTAATTATGTCTAGAGTTATGGCCCATGTTGAACCTTGTGAACACTAACAACAAATGTTATCCGATCTGTATGAAAATTATATGCATCATTTAAATTCGTGAAACAAAGAAGCCTATTGAATTTCAGCAATTTCCACTAATTATGTCTAGAGTTATGGCTCTTGTTTCACTTTCTTGAACCTTCTGAACGCTCTTACAACAAAAGTTATCATCTGATATGTATGAAATTTATATGCGTCATTTAGATTTGTGAAACAAAGAAGCCTATTGAATTTCTGTTATTTTCTTCTAGAGTTATGACCCTTGTTTCACTGTTAAACCTTGTGAACACTCTGACAACAGTTATCATCCGATCTGTATGAAATTTATATGCATCATTTAAATTAGTGAACTGAAGAATCCTATTGAATTTCAGCAATTTGCAATAATTACTTGTAGAATTATGTCCCTTGTTTCATTTTGTTTACACTTGTGAACGCCGTAACGAAAATAGTTATCATCGGATCTGTGTGAAACATTCCTTCATGTTTATTAAATTGTGCGGGAGCCATAAAAAGCTCCTGATGCCTTGAATATATGCAGTTTAAAAGTAAACAAAAACTGAAAGTAGTTTATTAATCTCAATATTTAGGAGAGCGATTTAGCTTATTTGCAGGAGTCTTTAATGGCTCCTTCGAAGGAAAGCTGACGTGTGCCGAAACGACCAGGAGAGAAAGCTCCCCTTAAACATGAGGGACAGGTGAAATTTATATGCATCATTTGGATTAGTGAAACGAAGAAGCCTATTTGAATTTCAGCAATTTTCGTCAATTACTTCTAGAGTTATGGCCCTTGTTTTACTTCGTTGAACCTTGTGAACACTCGAATGATAAAAGATATCAACTGATCTGTATGAATTGATAGGCATTATTTAAATTGGTAAACCAAAAAAAAAACCTATTGAATTTCAGCAATTTCTGTAAATTACTTCCAGACTTAAGGCCCTTGTTTCAGTTTGTAGAAACTGGCAACCTATCTTTTTAATATTTATTATTCACCACATTCACAATCTATGACTGACTCAGAATGTTAGTTACTTTATTTTTTTTATTATTTAAAGCCTCTCTTAGAAAAATAAGTTTGTCCACTATGTCGGGATAGAGATTTAACCGCTTTACAGTAGCAGAACTGTATTCCCGATATTGGTTGAAGTTGAACCACACGCGACAAAATCGATGTCAAAGTTGACTTATCGAAAAATACAAGAATGTAAACAACTATCTATAGAACACAACAGATGTTTTTAACGGATAGTAAAATGATTCGGATAACCATTATTTTGTATACGTTTATGGATATCTGAATACTAGTTTCAACATCCTATACATGTAGATCAATTGTTCTCAGACTCCACCATTCTGTTGTTAAAAATAGTATAAAAATAGTATAAAATTCAGAGGGTTTCAGTTATGGAATTCATTGCTAAATAATATTAAAGATATAAGCTTAATCCATATTTTTCGTAAGCATATCTATAAATATTGAAGTGCTTCATAATTTAATGTTTTCTTGTTTATTCATAATTTATGGATCTAGGTCATCAGCTGCCATGTTCATCCATCATGTCCAACTTCGTGGGTTTTCTCCGGGTCCTCCGGTTTCCTCCCACTGCTAAATACCCCTATGCGCAAGCGAATTATGGAAATAAAATTGAACCATTTGTTAGTCCCGAAATGACCTAGTTTGTGTCCCTAGTTTGTGTCGCCTGGACGTTAAACCTCATTTCTCTCTCTCTCTCTCATCCATCATGGGAGGGGGTGGGAGGGATGGCCGAATGGTTAGCGTGCACTCGCTGTATCATACGGTCTGTCATTGAGTCAACTGGTGTGGTTTCAATTTCCCGATTGTACGTGACAAGGAATAGGGTCGCCTGTCCAACCACGTGGGTTTTCTCTGGGTCCTCTGGTTTCCTTCCACTGCTAAAGACCCCTACGAGCAAGCGAATTATTGATATAAAATGAAACCATATATGACAACCTAGTTTGTATCGAGTGGACATTAAACCCTTTGTCTCTCTCTCATGATCCATGTACATATATTTTGTATAATACTATTCATACCTATCTTAGTGCAAATAATATTTACATTTATGTATGTACATGTACCTATCTTGTATAATTCAATTCATACCTATCATAGTGTAAATAATTTTCACATTTATCAAACAGCACGTCTGATATATTTATTATTGTTTTGTAAACAAATTTGTTCAAGATTTTATGCATGCTTGATGTTATTAAATTGGCAATACATGTATGTAAGAAAGGCCCCAGGCCTCATTTTCTACCCCTTAAGTTATTATTATAACACTTAAACCCTGGCATTATGATGCAGAACATATTTGTCATAAAGTTGGGTATCAAATTTATTTAATGATTCAAAATCTGAATATGATCTAAATAACAAATTTTATTTACAGGTGAAAAACGATTTGCCTGTCCGATATGTGAAAAGAAATTTATGAGAAGTGACCATCTTAACAAACATGCACGACGTCACCCAGATTTTGATCCTAGCATGTTGAAGAAACGAATTACTACAGCAACGGTGAAAGTAGTGAAAGTTGATCGTAATAGTGACGGAATATCGGATGACCACTCGGCTGCATCACCATAGAATCTACCTACACAAGATGGCAGATTTAGAGTTAAAGGATCTTCAAGAGAATTTTGTTTTGTCTCATCTTTTTCAATATTTGAATGAAAAAAAACCCCAGACTCTAAAATGACAATGTTATTTAACATAGAAGAAGTTTAAATAGCTAACAATGGTATCAAGTTCAGTGGTTTTTCACCTTGGTATTTGTTAAAAGTTAACGACTACTCTTTGCCATTTTAAATGAAATCCCTGAACAATTAACTTAAGGTTACCATTTGATTAATAATTCCCTCTATTATTATGAGGAATTAAACAATAAATTGTGAATTCTTCTACATTAGATATAAATAATGTAATCTTCGCATAAATACTTATTAAATACATAAACCTGAATAGATCTATAGTATGAAATCAAAATGATATTAACGAAAGCTTATTTGATCGAATAATTGCAGAAAGATTCATAACTTGTAAGTCAAAATTAAAGTAATACAAGATGATTGAACTTGTTCGAGGCATACTTTAATAATATCAATTCAAAATACATAGAAAATTGGGTGCCTCATAGACTAACCGCACCAGATGAAGTGCGCTGACTAAGCCTGAATGTCAGCCAGGTATTGTTGATTACAGGTAAATTATTTCCAGACAGGTGTGTAAGTGCACTTAATCCTATTGACAAATTACCAGGAATTTGACCTATTTGTTAGAGAATAAATATAAATATTTTAACCAAATAAAGGGAGATCAACCAAATTGCATTTATTTTAGATTAGATCTGTTTCAAACTGTGTAATAAAAACGGTGTGTTTTTAGTTATTAGTTTGTTGTACATGTATATAGTTATTATTATTATTATGATGATATTCTAAACTGTATTTGAATTAAATGTAAATAGTTTCAATCAAAATATTTATGGTTATTAACTCATTAACTTGTACATATCACAACTACTTTCATTTAGGTCATGGTTTACATATCTACGCTCTGATACTCACCTGACAGTGCTGGCACAGGTTTCACAAAACAATCTCAGGCTTCAGTTAAGAATTTACTCAAAATTGCTAGTCTTATTTTAACTAAAATATAGCTCTTTAAAAACACATCTTCAGTCTGAGAATGTTTTGTGAACTTCTGGCCTGGCCTCCAATCTTTATGAACTGAGAACCAGGCCTCCAATCTTTGACGTCCTAAACGATGATCGTAGCATGTTCATTTGAGCCAAATGGCAGCCGAATGAGTGCACACACTTGGCAAATCCTTCACCCGATTCACCAGTCGATTGCATCGCCTTTCACGTCACATAATTAAACATTGCATCGACCATGTCTTCAAACAATCACATGACTTCTCGATATCAGTGGTGATTGGCTAATGAAGTATTAATATGTCATTTACATGAAAACTATACATCACACTTCTGTTGCAAATTGCGTGAAAGTGAGAATTTCGGAGTACAACGCATGTGCCAACTGCATAAAAAATATATCAACCAATCATGACAACTGAAACATATTTGTTACTTAAAATATGTCACGATTCTGCTCACACCACCCCAGCTGTCAGGACTGGCAGAACTGTGACGGGGCTGAATTCTGTATCACTTGATTGCAACTCTGTCAATTATGCCGTTCAGAATTTTGTGGCACACTGGTTGAGAATCACTGTACTGGACTGGTGATCGAGCACCCCCTATTGAGGTTATTTGTAATTTATGAGTATAAGAAGAATGGAGATATGTAATCTATGATTTATTGTTAGTAATTGCTAGTGCTAGTAATTAACATGTATATAGTTATCTAGGATATATATATAATATAATATTAATTATATTTACAAATAGAAGTAATCCGGGCTCTCGTTTTATTGTCCTCCTGCCGTAAAAGCACCATCTTGCATGCTAGAAAATTAAAATATTGGAATAAATTTAATGGCTAAATATTTTTTTCAGAACTAGAAATTCTTAAGTTTTATTGTCCTCCTGCCGTAAAAGCCATCTTGCATGCTAGAAAATTAAAATATTTGAGTTAATTTCATGGCAAAATCTTTTTTTCAGAACTAGAAATTCTTAAGTTTAAATTTGGGATGTATAATATACATAGAAATATCTGGAAAGATTTTGAATTGAGAGCCCTGGAACTATATGTTGAATAACTCATGTTAAGGATTCACTTGTTTTTCTCAGAATTCCATATTTATTGCATTGTGATTACAGCTCGATCCGTTTTCCAATTTGTTCTTAAGCCCAATCGCAAACAAAAAAAGAGAGATCACTCCCTCGATCCGTTCGCTAATTTGTTCTTAAGCCCAATCGCAAACACAAAAAGAAAGATCGCTCCCTGCTCTTTTTGGTTTATAAAATTAGTGACCAGTCCCAGTTATATCAAGGTACATCAGATTTTCTTTTTCACCTGAAAAGTCTGTTCGAGTAAATATTTTTAGACTAAAAAATAAACCCAGTATCTTTTGGGAGATTAGAGCATTATGGGAGATTAGGTAAAGAACTGACAGTTCTCGCTATAATAGTTAAATATAAATAATGTAAAGAGAATATGCTGAAAATTTCAGTCAAATTGCTCCATTCAGAACCGAGATATTAGCGATTGAGTTTTAGGCCTAGCCTCGATCATCATTACTAAAGTCGGTATGGTAAAAAAACCCAACAAAGTCTTGATTATCCATTTTGACGTTAAGTCATCCATCACAAAATTTATTCAAATCCAGTTAATATTGCAGGCGAGTGATGGCATCGAGAGTTGATTATGGTCTGGATGAATTAATTAATGTCTAATTAATAATTTAGATAACATTTCAGGCCTAAAGAAAGGCATACAATAGGCAGATTTAGCTCTTGCATAATGTATGTTTAAGCAAAGTTTTTATTATTGTTAGGAGCCAGAGCGAAACAATATGTGTATGTTAAGTTAAAAGTAAGTAAAGTATTATGATACACTGTATAAATAAATTTCATTGACTTATTTTGTTGATAACGTTGATGTATTCAAAATATTCAGTCCACTTAATTCTACTGCAATCATTTGAAATCTTGGTTGTAATCTCATATAAAACCTTTCTACCTAAGCTTGATATTTCTACCTCGGGAGTTCTCTGGGTTGGATGGCCGAATGATTAGCACGTGCGTATTGTATCATAAAGTCTGTCATTGAGTCATTTGGCGTGTTTTCGATTCCCCGGTTGTATGTGACAAGAAGTAGGTTCACCTGTCCAACCTCGTGTGTTTTCTCCTGGTCCTCCAGTTTCCTCCTACTGTTGAAGACCCCTATGTGCAAGCAAATTTTTGAAATAAAATTGAACCATGTGTTAGTCCCGAAATAACCTAGTTTGTGTTGAGTGGATGTTAAACCCCATCTTTCTCTCCCTCTTTATCTTATCCATCTGGGGGGGGGGGGGGGAAATCATTCGTGCATATGAAATCACATGGTCTGTCATTGTGTCTGTCCTTGAATGTCACCTGTCCAACCTTCTCCTGGGTTATTCAAATACAATTGAACCATATGTTAGTCCCGAAATGACCTAGTTTGTGTTGAGAGGACGTTAAACTCCATCTCTCTCTATATAAATCTCTCTTATAAATTGAGAATTTCAAACAGTCCCTGGTTTCAAAAATAATAACCGTATGTCAACAATGCAAATGGCCTTGTAATAAGTAGAGTTTTAACATTTTATCTTGACTGAAACATTATTGAATCATGTGTTAAGAAAAAATAAAAAAACATTAAATATTGTAAATAGATTATTTGACAATCTGATTAAAACACAGATCCTGTTTTGTTTCGTTTATTTTATAGTTCAAAATTTTGTTTTACTTGTCTTTACTACACTAGGATCTTGAAGAGTTGTTATATAACCTGTGTTCTAGTTGATGTGAGGGATTAGCCAATGAAACTGTTTGTTGAAGCAAGTTCTTAGCGTGCGATGCACGGAACTGTGGGTATCCTACTAGAAACATCAACGCTGATTGGTTAATCAAATGTCTTAGCATAAGGTCAAAAGCCGCTCGTATGACCCCTGACACAACCTCCCACTACAACTGGTCAGATCTTCATGTAGTAGAGATCATCGAAAGTATAAAAAAAACGAAACGAAATATAGATCTATATTTTAATCAGATTATTTATTTCAAATCAAAAATATACGGAAAAGTATAAACAGATTTAAAAAAATGTTTGTTGTGTTAATCGTTTATTTGTATTATTTGGAGCAATATTTCCATGTATATGATATTAAAGATACATTATGGGAGATTAGACAAAGAGCTGGCAGTTCTCACTATAATAGTTAAAAACTAGATAATGTAAAGGGAATTTGCTGAAAATTTCAGTCAAATTGATCCACTCTGAACCGAGAATTTAGTAATTGAATTTTCGGCCTAGCCTCGATCATCATTACTAAAGTCGGTACGATAAAAAACATAATCTCGATTACCCATTTCATGATTTAATCATGAATGAATGTTGAGCAGAAATATCGCATGCTAGCGATGACATTGAGAGTTGATTATGGTCTAGATAATTAATTAATGTATAATTAATAATTTAGATAACATTTCAGACCTAAAGAAAGACCTGCAATAGGCAGATTTAGCTCTTGTATAATGTATGTTTACCTGGTGGTTGTTTTGTATTTATAACCAGAAAACCCTTACTCTCCTTATACTTGACAAAGATGTATCCTCGTGGATGAAAATGGTGATTTGGTTAAATTTAATTACCAGACCGGAGATAAATGTTGAACAAGCTGATATTATATGGATTTGTTGTCAAAATCGTAATCCAAGTTAAATTATCTTAAGGCTACATCAATTCTATTTTCTGTTTTTCTGGAATACCTATAAAAACTTTGCTTCTTATTTCTTCAGGAGAAATACTAAATTAAAAACCAAAAATACTTGGTTGCCTTGTTCAAAAGCTTTGTTTTAAAAATTTTAAAGATACATTATGTAAGATTTAGATAAAGAGCTGGCCGTTCTTGCTATAATAGTTCGAAAATAGATAATGAAAAATGATAATATTGAACATTTCATTCAAATTACTTCATTCTGGGCCAAATTATCACTGTTTGTAGTTTTGACAAGATGTGTGCATTGTGGTAATCAGGGCACTGGTATATTTGAGACTTAACCTTGCTTTCCCATTTTTAAATTGAATTTTTAAATGGCAAGCTGTTAAATTCTAGTTAAAATCTCGAGTATCCGATGCTAACGAGAGTTGATTATGGTCTTGTTTTGTTAATAAATGTCTAATTAATAGTTTATATAACATTTCAGGCCAAAAGAAAGACCTGCAATAGGTATATTTACCTCTTACATAATGTTATATGTTTAAGTGTTGAAATTTTAAACAAAATTTATTTATCAAATCCCCAAAGAACTGAAAATGAAATTTACTTGGCCTAAGTGATATATTCCATTTAGATGTACAGACTATAGAAAGAGCTGTCCATGATTATATTTTGTAGAACTAGTAATGTATTTTTCTAATTATTCAATAAAAACTACTTATATTTCATAACTTGTTGAATGTATGGCTATTAAAATGTGGATTGAATGGGAATTTTTTTTTTTTCCATGCTATATTCAAGAAATATTTTGTGATGTTGATGAATGCAGTGGTAGTTTTATAGAAGTTTTAAGATTATGAATCTCTCTACTGCTTACATTTAGAATGTTGTTCAAGTTTACACATGACCATAAAATGTGTTCAGAAAGATAAAAATATATTACAACATGGACATTGAATAAGTATTTTATAAGAAATATCTCAAGTTTGTGGAATTATATGAAAAGATCTGCGTTAGTTTTTTTTTTTCTGTGAACTAAATACAATAAATGTCGCATAAGTCAGATTTGTATAAGTCGGATCTTTGCCCAACTCGGATAAAATCATTTGGACCCTTTGATCCTGCACGGTTTTCTTGTTAAATTTCTGTGCGTAAGTCTATTTGATCTAATTCCAGCTTTTTTCCTTCGCCTAAGTCAGAATTTGACTATGTCAATTTCGTCTCGATGGTCTAAAACATCGTTAGCTATTCCATCCACAGAGCCCCAAAATACTTTCCCCCCTATCATTTTGACTCAAATCGGCCTATTTGATGCGACGCAATAATAGAATTTTCACAGAAAATTCGAAACTCACTGTCGGCTGTACCAGACACTTTCCGGGAAAATTTAGGACATTTTTCAAAGATGACGACAAAACGGAAGTTATCTACTCGCACATACGAACAAAAGCTTGAAATGTGGTTCGAATCAATTATCATCCGGGTCTTGCAGTTTATTTCTAATTGAGCTAAGATTGAATTTCGGTCTTCGGATAACTCAGATGTTTGCTAAACTCAAATATGATTGGTCAGTCCACTTAGATCCGACTTATGCAAAGTTTATTGTACGTACGTGTTTATTTTAATATTTTACTTGAAATCCTTTGTCGTTATATGTTAATTCAATATTTTATTTATTTGAAATGATATAATTCCCGTTGGAAAATGACCTGTTTGCTGCTGCTATTAAAAGTAATAATTCTCTATGGGCTGCATGTCACTGGGCCAACTTGGGCCCAAGCTATATTTGCGAACTGCCCAACACTGTGGGTCCCTTAAATTATTATTTTGGGTTAACTGTTGGCATTTTTGTTTTCTTAGGCCAGTGGTTCTCAACCTTTTTGCTAACCGCACACCTTGGAACACATGAAAAAATAGCGGCACACCTGGCTAAATATATATAAAAAATATCTCAATTTTTCAAAATAAAAACATGGCAAGTCATAGACGGCATACAACTGTAGACACAGACTAGTCATAGAAACATAGAATGACTCAAACTAAATAAAAAAAAAACATGACTATGAACTTAACAGTAGACACCAGTGAATACTCAGTTAGAATCACGTGATTTTCACATTTTCTTAGTGTGCCGTTCAAATTTTTGCAGCAAACTTAGGAAGATCTTGTTGAGAATCACTGTCCTAGACGATAAAATAAATGTTACTTTTTCTTTCGGCCAGTTTTCAGTCTTCAGGTAACCATAGATCCATACATGCAGTCCTGAATTCTCTGTTGTAGATTTTTTTCGATGTATATACTAAACAGATATTTTAGAAACACAAATTGATGATGATGCACTGTCCTTACTTAAGCTAAAATCATACTTTTATCATAAAACTAAAACAAAGATAAGTATCAAATTTATAACAAAATTGAAAAAAATGAAAAGACCTTTGAAAACCAAATATTGTTACTATCGAGAAATGAAATTGGGATTAATGTCCTACTCGGAGAAATTTGAAATGACTAAGGTATGAAATGTGCTAGAGTAATGGCCGTGCATATTAATTATAATTGTTTAAGTAAAAAATTTGAAATGACTAAGGTATGAAATGTGCTAGAGTAATGACCGTGCATATTAATCATAATTGTTTAAGGAGATGGTCCATCTGTTTCTTTCTTCTGAATAAAAAAAAGTGTCCTTAATACTACCAGATCATTCTTGTGGGTTTTCTCCCGATCCTCCGGTTTCCTCCCACTGCTTAAGACCCCTACATGCAAGCACGTTATTGAAATAAAATTGAACCATATGTTAGTCCTGAAATGACCTAGTCTTAGTGGTGTAGAGGTTAAACCCCATTTCTCTCTCTGGGTATTGTATGACACTAAATATTCCAATGTATCGTATCTCCAGATTATTCTAATGGCGTCCCCTAGATTTAAATGGCAAGGTTTTATTTATTTTTCTTCAAGTAAAAACCAATCAGATTTGATTTAGGTTTATGTCAAACAACTGTTAGTTGTGTTTCTACTATTTTCAACTGTCAACGGAGGGCCTGATAAGGACAGCTGTCTAGTTGTTCGGATGGATACGAAAAACTGAGAACCCGTGTATGCATTGGAATGCATGTAAAAGAAGCCTTGGGCAGTTGGAATTCGATATGAGAGTAGGCCAGAGTGCCAGTGCCCGGGCAAAATTTCTTTCATAGCACACTGTATGATGGATGCCTGTTTTCATTAGCCTAGTAAGAGCAGAAGAGTAGTACGTTAAACTTAGCCACGGTGATCCCCTTATTTTAGCTACCATTGTTAGAATATAGAAACCGGTGAACCATCTTCTTTTGTGAATGTTCAATAATAAATACAATAGCTTGTTACATTTAATTTACTCCTGATCATGAAACAATTCCCGACTTCTAACTTTGTCTAATGAAGATTATTGTTAAAGATGTTTTAAAAGACAGACGGGATAGATTATATTTTTGATAATAAAATGAGCCTCGTTTTATTTCCTCTTTGTGGATAAATGTCATTTAAAAATACAGTTTTTTGAAAAGTCAGTTTTATTTTGTTTTTATTTCATAAATGTTTGGAGGGGGGTAGGGTGATCTAGTGGTTTAACGCATGCGCGTGAAATCATAAGGTCTGTCATCCGAGTCAACTGGCGTGGTTTCGATTAACTGCTTGTACGTGACAAGGAATAGGGTCACTTGTCCAACTTCAAGGGTTTCATGGGATCCCCTGGTTTCCTCCCATTGCCAAAGAATCCAATGCGCAAGCAAATTATTGAACCATATGTTAGTCCTGAAATGACCTAGTTTGTGTCAGGTTGGATATTAAGCCCCATTGATCTATCTCTCTCTCATAAATGTTTGGGCAAGAAATGGAAATGTTTTGGGTTTGAGTCTTGGCATTCATAATTTTGGATGATCACAAGGTATGTCAGGTAGTTTGGTTTCAACTCCCTGCTTGTATGTGACAAGGTGTAGGGTTCCACCTTGTGGGTTTTCTCTGGTTTCCTCCCACTGATAAAAAGACCCCTACGAGCAAGCGGATTATTAAAAAAATTCTCTTTTCATCATCAATTTTTTTGTTTAAAGTATTATAGCGATTAGCAAGAACTGTCAGCTCTTTATGTAGTCTTACCTAATGTCACTTTAATGTACTGGAAGATGATTTCTAAAGGGAATTTATAAATGTAATTCTCTCGTACTATTATGAATATTGAATACTACTGTCTCAGAGTACAATTTATTTTTAAAAATTGCGATAAAGTTAATTGAATTTAATAAGATTTTCTAAAACAATTTATGGAGCAATTTTTTCGGCCGCAGAAATATCAATGAATTCTCCTTCAAAGAAAACGGGGCTGGGGATGTGCTGTTTCGCCATTGATGGTTAAATTTATGATATTCCTTGAAATCGGGGAAAATGACTGATAAATTATCATCATTCTTCTTAAAGGTGAGTTTCGCGGAAGCAGTTGAATGAAAACCCGAATTTGATTGGACAAATTTAGGATAGATCGAACAAATGAGCAAGCTAATGCATACCGCCCTTCCAACCCTCTCAAACTGGGTCATAATACAATGGGAACTTGTCGGGTTTTATCACAGCACTCGACCAAGATATGACGTCATTTTGCTAACCGCGTGTAATTATCGATTATTATGCATTGGTTATTAAGTAAAATACTATTTGGATTTACTGCATTTCGATAATTAAGCGCGAATATTTAATACAAGTGATGACAAAGTGATCGAGACTTCATCGTTTGGAAAATTGATTCTGGATAACCCTGACCTCTATCTGGGATCATTCATTGTGTGTTATTATTCCCCTATAATTTACCTCGAAATAACCGTCTTTTATTATATACTTTGTTTCAAACTGTGAATTATTATATATTGGCCCACCATGTGTTCAATGATCAATGCGTATTCCACAGTAGCTCTAGTCAATACATTTTTATAATTCACAGTTTAAATGTTTCAAACATGAATTATTATTATATTGGCTCACCATGTGTTCAATGCATATTCCACAGTTGCTAAGAGCCAATACATATTTATAATACACAAGATGTGATTTAGCCCGTATATTCCGGACAGGTCCTGCTATTGTCCAAACGTCCGACCAGGAATGTGCCCAATCGGACATCAAGATATGGTGAATGATATTCAAAATTCCAAAATTAATTGACAGTACTGGGTATATATACATGTAACTACTATTCATCCCGATTATCGATAATAGGCTGGATTGATTAGGTAATTAAGTGATCAACGTATTTATTGTATTACACGGTCTATAGACCTACCTTGATTAACTAGTTAATCTGTAGTGCTAGTTGTTTAATGCTGGCACAATATAGTCCGGTTAGTGCTGACTTGCCATTAAACACCATTTCAGAGAGAGAGATGGGGTTTATCATCCACACAACACAAATTAGGTCATTTCAGGACCAACACATGGTTCTATTTTATTTCAATAATTCGCTTGTGCGTACAGGTCTTTAACAGTGGGAGGAAACCGGGGGACCTGGAAAACCCCACAAGGTTGGAAAGTCGACCCTACTCCTTGTTATGTACAAATCGGGGAATCGAAACTACGCCAGTTGAAAACACCATTTCATAGTTTGAGTGGAGGTTAGGGCTCTACTGTTTTATAGGACACCTGATGCCATTTTTTGTTTATTTGGGAATCTCGCTAACCTGTAGGTCCCGTGTTCGATCCCAGCGTTGGCCGAGAAAGTTCATTGTGGTTTTCTGGTGTGGTTTACTCCTTGTCAGTGGTGCAGGACTGAGGGACAACTTATAGTACTTCGGATGGGACAATAAGCCAAAGTGCTGTGTACATATTGGCATGCACGTTAAAGATCACTTGGCAGTCGGAATTCGATATAAGAGTAGGCCATAGCTCCGCTGTCCGAGCAAAATTTCACTCATAGCATTCTGTATGGCGTATGCTCATCTTCATTAGCAAAGTCGGAGCAAAAAAAGTAGGACTTAAACCCCATTTCGTTTCATTTCATTAGGGAAGCTCACGTAAGTAACAAACCTGTACCTTTATATCCATTTATGTTTTTTTAAATTTGTTACAGGTTCAAGCAGTTGAAGAATCTTTTCTACAACTAGGTGAATCTGACAGAGAGAAGGCTATCACCATCCTTTCCTCGTCCATTAAAAAATTACAAACATTACTTGGTTGTACGGTCATCCAACAAGTTAAAAAAACAGTTTTATGCTTAGAAAAAAACAAGGAAACGGAGCATACAAATGATGATTTGGATTTCGATGATGATGCTGAATGCACAGAAAGTTTTTTTGAGGACCCTGAAACAAATGAAAAACCGATAGAATTTACTCCAACAGAAAATGTCTCTAAGAAGGAAAATAAGGTTGCCAAGGAGACAAGAAAACGTGGAAAGGGAAATGGAATTAGTACAAATAGCGTTAACCAGCAAAAGAGGAAGACGAAATATCAACTCCAAAAACAGAACCAAAAGCAAAACAATCGAAAGTTATTCTATTGTTCGGAATGTGACGAAACCCTGACGCATCCCCGGTCCATTAGAAACCATATTAATGTACACGGAGAGCAGCCCATGAGTTGCCTTAAATGTCATAAACTGTGTCAAAATATCGTAGAATTTCAATATCACGATTGTCTATCCGTGTCTCGGAAAACAGATCCAGCATGCTCAGAATGCGGGAACTTGTTTAAATCCGCAAAAACTTTAAAAAAACATCTTAAAAAATGCCTCAAGCTTAAACACAAGAAGTACGAATGTTTTATTTGTCAAAAAAGGTTTACGAAAAAATCAGCCATGTTTTCTCATCTCAAAATTCACGCTGGAGACAAAATGGTTTGTCAGAAATGTGGAGTCTTTTGTGACGATTTTGAGCAATACACGGAACATATGAGTAACCATGACGACAAGGCTCCATTTAAATGCGATAAATGTGATCAGACTTTTACGAGAGTTCAGCAGTATAATCAACATATGGCTGGACATGAGAGATACAACTGTAGTCAGTGTGTCCAGTCTTTTTCCAGTAATGAAAAGCTGCAGAAGCACGAACATGAGGAGCATAATTTATCTGCGTCGATACCAGAAGATAAAAGTCACGTATGTGACGTTTGTGGGAAAATCTTCGTGAAACCAGGACAATTAGTCGTACATCAAAGACTTCATACAGGTAGGCCTACATATTACGCCATTTTGTTGCTTAAACATTTGAATTGAATTTTTATACGCCCACACTGAAATGTGGACGTATATTGCCGTCGCCTCCGTCCGTCCGTCTGTTGGTCCGTCCGTCCACAATTTCTTGTGAACGCTCTAACGCCAAAAGTTATCATCCGATCTTTCTGAAATTTACATGCATTATTTAGATTAGTGAAACGAAGACGCCTATTGAATTTCAGCAATTTCCGTTTATTACATCTAGAGTTATAGCCCTTGTTTCACTTTATTGAACCTTGTGAACGCTCCAACGCCAAAAGTTATCATTTGATCTTTGTGAAATTTATATGCATTATTTAGGTTACTGAAACGAAGAAGCCTATTGAATTTCAGCAATTTACAATAATTACTTCTAGAGTTATTGCTCTTGTTTCACTTTGTTAAACCTTGTTAATGCTCAATTGATGATAGTTATCATCCGATATGTATGAAATTCATATGCATCATTTAAATTTGTGAAACAGGTCTATTGAATTTCAGCAATTTCCGTCAATAATTTCTAGAGTTATGGCGATTGTGAACGTTTAAATGACAAATGTGATCTGTATGAAATTTATATTCATTATTTACATTAGTAAAACGAAAAAGCCTGTCAAATTTCAACAAGTTGAGACCCTTGTTTCAGTTTGTAGAACCTTGTAAACCCTCAAACGACAAAATTTATAATCTCATCTGTTGTAACTGTCTTGTAAAGGCCCCCAATTACCTACAAAGGAATAAATATGCGACAACCCTTCACGACCGCTCGGACGATTTAGCTGCTGTGGGCATATGTTTTGTTGCCTGGCAACCTATCTTTTTTTGTGTCTTCTATGTCTGCCTGTTGTGGATCCAAAACATTAGATTTGTGAGAGGAGTTTAAAGAAGGTCTTTATTCTGGCTTTGATTCCCCGGTTGTAGTGACAAGGAGTTAGGTCGCCTGTCCAACCTTGTGAGTTTTCTCCGGGTCCTTCGTTTTCCTCCCACTGCTAATGATCCCAACGCGCAAGTGATTTTTAAAAATAAAATTAAACTATATGTTAGCCCTGAAATGACCTAGTTTTTGCCAGTGAAGTTAAACTGAATTTGACTGAAATGTTCAATATATCTATTTTTGAACTATTACAGCGAGAACGGCCAGCTTTTTTTATTTTTATCTAATTCGGCTGAGAAAATTCATTGGGATTTTCTGAAGTGGTTTCCCCTTGTCGGTGGTGCAGAACGGAGGGCCTGACAAGGATAGCTGTCTAGTTGTTCGGATGGGACAAACAACCGAGGTCACGTGTATACATTGGCATGCACGTAAAAGATCCCTTTGGCAGTTGGAATTTGATGTAAGAGTAGGCCATAGTGCCACTGCACGGGCACACTGTATGATTTATGCCAGTCTTCATTAGCCCAGTCAGAGCAAAACAGTAGGATGTTAAACCTCATTTTATTTCCTAGTTCCGGTACAACTACATTGTGTATGCTCGTCTTCATTAGCCCAGTCGGAGCAGATCAGTAGGACGTTAAACCTCATTTCATTTCATTTTATCTAATTCTTACATAATGCCACTTTAAAGAGCAACTTTGACCACATTAAATAAAAAGTTTTATAAAATCTTTATGTGATTTTTGTTTTCAGGAGAGAAACCTTTGGAATGTTCATTCTGTCAACTTTTCTTCCGAACTACCAGATCATTACTAAAACATAAAGAAACGTATTCTCACTGTGCTCGAGCTGGCGTTACTAAAGACAGACATTTTCTCTGTTCTCAGTGTGGTAAATCGTTTTTCAGGTAAGCACCGTACACTTAGGTTAATTTAAGAGAGTGGGTAAGGTGGAAAGCAGAATTAAGTTCAAAAGGTGAAGTACCAGACTACATGAAAATTGTCTTGTGGTACCCAACTATAGACTAAAGACATTTGGTCATAGATGGGGGGTTGGATGGCTGAATGGTTAGCGTGTGCGCGCTGTATCATACAGTCTGTCATTGAGTCAACTGGCGTGGTTTCGAATCCCCGGTTGTACGTGGCAAGGAGTAGGGTCGCCTGTCCAACCTCGTGGGTTTTCTCCGGGTCCTCCGGTTTCCTCCCACTGCTAAAGACCCCTACGCGCAAGCGAATTATGTAAATAAAATTAAACCATATGTTAGTCCCGAAATGACCTAGTTTGTGTCGAGTGGATATTAAACCCCATTTCTCTCTCTCTCGGTCATAGATGCTTCTCATACACTGTACCAAACCTATGGAATTCATTACCCTTGACCTTAAAGAATTCACAATCGCTTAGCTGTTTTAAGAAGGAATTAAAGACTCGTCTTGTTTTCGACTGTTTATTAGTTGTTAACATTAGCTGTGTTTTTATCTTGTGATAAGTGGAGAGCTAAATGCGCCTTGAGCATTAACTTTAATGAATCTGTGCACAATAAAAGAACTCACTATTATTATTATTATTATCAGTATATCAATACATGTATATCAATTATATCAATATATCAATATATCAATATATAGTAGCCTATATCTCAGTATATTGATATAGTAATACATGTATATCAGTATATCAATTTTTTAACAGGTCTAATTCGTGTTAATCCATGATCTATCTCTACTTTCAGGAAACAGACGTTGAAGCGCCATCTACGATGCCATACAGGAGAGCGTCCACATATGTGTCAGTACTGTGGCTATAAAACAAGTGAACTCAATAATCTGAAACGACACGTTGTTCACCATTTTAAAGGTCAGCGGAATTTTATTTGTGAAATCTGCGGAGATGCCTTTCACACCAAGAAAACCTTAGAGAGTCACCATATTCACAGGCACAACGAGGACCGAAATTTTACGTGTTCCGAATGCGAAATGTCGTTTAAATCAAAAAGCGGCTTAAACAGACACAGTAAAACGCACTCCAAGACAAAAGAACATAAATGTTGGTGTGACGCGGCATTTGGTAGACTTTATAATTTAAGACGACACATGCGTAGCGTTCACGGTAATGATAGTGCCTTACCCCCCGTGAGAAAAATAGCTGTGTTAGATCAGACCGATCCTGTTGATGATGTCGGAAAATCATTGACGCAAAATACTGAGAAATACGACGAGAGCCAATTGGTGCCATGTATTCAGGAGGAAAATATGATGAATAATTGTCTACAGATGTCTGAAGCTTACCAACAACATCATAACATGGCTAATCACATGACTCTCGATACCCAGGGTATGGTTTACGATAATATGGCCCCTGCTCAATCTATCGTCGGTTACCCTAATACGTCACATGTAGTAGGTGTCGATCATCAACGTCCTCCAGATTATTATCAGAGTAATATGCCCATGATGGATAATATGACGCCGGCACCTGATTATAGTAATCCCTGTATGTATATACAGAATGTATTATTACCCACAGTTGCTGGTCTTTTAGATTTATCTCATGCTGGAAAATAAGCACATTAGTAAGATCAACAAGGAAGAATCCTATTGAATTTCTGTGATTTTTATACACCCACATTGAAATGTGGGCGCATATTGTCCTCACCCCGACCATCCATTTACTTCCAGAGTTATGGCCCTTGATCACTTTGTGTAATAACTTCCAGAGTTATTTCCCTTGATCTCTGTATAGTGAGTGTTCACAAGATTCTATATGGCCACAGATCACTAATGATTTCCCCATTGACTTTAATGTTAATTCTCGTCTCTTAGACCGGCTCCAACTTTTTCCCAAATTTTCGTTGGGTAGAACGTTTTCTACCACAGATGGAGCAACATGTGGCAAACTCTTGCCGAAAAGCATGTATGAGGTTCACCATGAAAAACTTGAGATACACAAGCTGGAAGTAGAGACAAGTAAACATGCAATTTTCAGCCCTACATGTACATTTCAACCTAACCAACCTCTCAACTCTTGTATCCTTCCGCCTCAAAATCATGAATATTCATCCAAAACCTGGCAGAAAATGCATTTACAAACCCTTTTCTTCGATTCTACACCAAAAAGTCAACAAAAATCGCCATGCAAAAGGGGGAAAAAGGGAAAGGGAGAGAAAGACTAAAAATAACTTTCGCCCTACATTCGTGATTGACGGCGTAGACATATTTGGTGAGCTCTGTCCAATATGGTCGACCCTACTCCTTGTCACGTACAACTAGGGAATCGAAACCACGCCAGTTGACTCAATGATACAGCCCGCACGTGCTAACCATTCGGCCATCCAACCCCCCTCCACATGGGTGACCGCTATGTACATACAACCATATTTCAATGGGAGCATATAAAATGGTCCAAATATTAAACATTTTAATTTTTAATTGACTTAGAATGTTCAAATTGTAAATCATTATTCAATGTGACTTCGACCTACATTTATAATATCACATAAAAGACAAAATCAGGATCCCTTTTATCTAGTCAACGAATTATTGTATTAAATTATTGTTATTTAACCATAGGTTATTATTATTGTATCAAATTCTTGTCATATAACCATGCACTATTATTGTATTGAACTTTTGTCATATAACCATGAATTAATATTGTATTGAACTCTTGTCATATAACCATAGCTATTGTATAAATGTATGTAACTCTTGTCATATAAAACTAAGGTAATTATGGTGTGTTCCCACTTTCTTAAAACTATACTCTGTTTAACAGTAGTCACTCAAGAACTGTTCACTAGTGTTCAGCGTTAATGACAGGGCTGAGGCCATTACATTGCCAATGTAATTAATTACATTACCATTACTTTTTAAATGTAATCATTACAATTACTTTCTCATTTTTAGCAATGTAATTAATTACTATTACCCATTACAATGAAAGTAATTAATTACCATTAACTTAATGAGCTCGTAATCCCTCTTAACAAAATTTATTAACCAACTTAATAAAACAAGAACAATCTTATGTCGAAATCACCATTTCACAGATATTATTTGGTGGTACCAAAAGGCCTCGAGTTAAGAAATATTGACAACTTGATACAAGAATTGACCATTTGAAAACACAGTTATTAAATGGCACTTAAGTGTAAATCAGTATGGAACAAATATTTCCTATTTAGTGGGGCTGTAAAATGATTGTTATGTTGAAAGGCATTTATTTATAAATTATATAATGCTATTTAATAAACGTTAAATGTGTAAATTGTAATGCATTTTTATATGTGTAAATTATTTAATGTTATTTAATAAATGTTAAATTTGTTAAAATCAATACATTATTATATGTGTAAATTATTTAATGTTATTTAATAAAAGTTAAATTTGTTAAAATCAATACAGTTTTATTCTTAAAAAAGATATGGACTATAGTTTATAACACCATTGTTCTAGGATTAACTCTGGATTAGCGGCAAAATTTGACATCAAAGCAAAGTGGGAACACCCCGTAATTATTTACATGTATTGAACTCTGGTTATACAACCATGGATTATTATTGTATTGAACTCTTGTTATACAACCATGGATAAATATTGTATACATGTATTGAACTCTTGTTATATAATCATAGATTAATATTGTATACATGTATTTAACTCTTGCTATTTAACCATGAATTATTATTATATATATAACCATGAATTATTATTATATACATGTATTTAACTCATGTTATATAACCATGGATTAATATTATATACATGTACCATGAATTATTATTATATATATGTACTGTGAATTTTTATTTAACTATTGTCATATACATATTACATGTGCCAGAATCAAAACTAAAGTTATATTTAACTTATTAAATATTTCAAATAATTTACTTGATATTTTGTTAGCCACAAACTAAGCAAATTTTGCTTACCGATAAGTTATGTTGGCTTGGAGTCATCAGAATTTTTTTGAATAGTGATGTGACAAACTTTGTTCTATTATGGAATTCAGTTTGTTTACGAATTTTAGTTTCGTTTATCAGTTTAATTAAACTGAATCAGCTATATTTGAACATCTGGGCTTTAACGTTCACTCAACACAAACTAGGTCATTTTGGGACTAATATATGGTTCGATTTTATTTCAATAATTCGCTTGCGCGTAGGGGACTTTGGCAGTGGGAGGAACACAGAGGACCCGGAGAAAATCCACAAGGTTTGACAGGCGACCCTACTCATTGCCACATACAACCGGGGAATCGAAACCATGTCAGTTGACTAAATGACAGACCTTGTGATACAGCGTGCATGCGTTAACCATTCGGCCATCCCCCCGACCATTATCCTAATAGTTTTTGCACATAAAAACTTTAAATGCAACTGTATTTATTGTATTCTAAAGATAATTCTTTCATATTCCAAACTGATTGACAGCCTGTCTGTCAATGCTGATGAAGACGGGCATACGCCATACAGTGTACTATGGAAAAAATTTTGCCCGGAATACGGCCTACTCTTATATCAAATTCAACTGTCAAGGGATCTTTTACCTGCATGCCAATGTGTACACGGAACTTCGTTTTTTCGTCCCATCCGAACGACTAGACAGGTGTCTTTGTCAGGCTCTCCGTTTTGCATAACTAACAAGGGGGAACCACGCCGGAAAATCTGGATGAACTTTCTCGGCCAATGCACCCGACCTCCAAGCTAGCGAGCCAGCGACTCACCCACTTAGCCACCGTGATCCCCCTGTCAAGGCTGATAAATGTCTGAAATGTAAGCCCTGGGTCAGTCCTGGAGTGGACTGACAAAAAAACACTAACATGGAGATTAAAGTTTTTTTTTAATATTTCAATTTTTTTGTTCTCACAATAAACATAAGCAAAGAAATAGATTTTCAATACAACAAGCAAATAATAACTTAAATAAATTTGGAAAATAAATAACTCACCAATAAAAAGCCTTAAACAACTTGATATTTTCTATACAAATTATTCATTAACAAAACTTTCAAATTCAATAACATAAAGGCTGATGGTTTAAATCATAAAGTGAGGCCTTATTCACAAATACATTTAACAAGGAAATATTTTAAGGGGTTAAACCCCTTTGATTAGGCCACAGAGAGAGAGATATGGGGTATAACATCCACTCAACACAAACTAGGTCATTTAGGGACTAACATATGGTTTTTAATTTTATTTCAATAATTCGCTTGCGAGTAGGGGTCTTTAGCAGTGGGAGGAAACCTGAGCACAGTTCATTTAAAATATTTCAGTTTATGTTTTTGCAATTAAGGCCCCAGACCCTCTGTGATTTACGTGAAAAATGCAAGTGTTGATTAGAATCAGACTGAATCTGACGTTCATTTGAGAAGACAGACATCTTTCTTTCTCAAAATAACATTCAACGCCTTATTTTGACCTAAATCAAAAGAATCTCTTGTCACTTTCAGGTGATCTATGACCACGGTCCGTCCGTCACTGGTCAATAAATACCTGTTGACCACAGATTATCCACCGATTGCCAGGGCAGACGTAGCCACACCCCTATAAACAAAGGGAGATATTCAAAATTCGCATCGGACATAATATTTTTGGACAAAAGATCAACATATTCTAAAAAATACAAATTCTATAAATCTAATATGTGTACCCTAAATAATAAAGAGGATATAATTTATGGATAATTTATGGATTTCAAGTGATTAAATGATTTTTCTCCAACCAATTTTTTTAAAAATAGAACTTCATAGGATAACAAATAAAAATGCTGTATCTCTCTTCTCTTGAAACATGTATCTTAAATGATGCATAATTTTAAGAAAAATCTATCCATAATATTGAGAAAAACCTATCAATAATATTAAGATAAACCTATCAACAATATTGAGATAAATCTATGAAATAAATAAATCTATTAATAGTACTGAAATAAATCTATCAATAATATTGAGATAAATCTATCAATGGTACTGAGAAAAATCTATCAATAATACTGAGATAAATCTATGAAAGAAATAAATCTATCAATAATATTGAGAGAAATCAATAATATTGACATCAATCTATCAATAATATTAAGACAAATCTACTAAAGAAATAAATTTATATGTAGATAAACCTATAAAAGAAATCTATCTGTAATATTCCCAAGAGACGATGTGTAATATGGAGATATATGTAAATAAATGAATAGTATTGAGGTAATATGGGCTGATAACATGGTTGTGATATGTTGAGTAATGATATATATATATACATGTATAGGAATAAATAACCTATAACACATTCTACACCATCTTTACTCAATCTCCCAGAGTTATCTTCCCTTACAGTCCACACCAATAACTGAGACTTGTGTGGAGAATGCATTGTTACTATGTCCTGATTACATAATTTTTATCCTAAATACTGATAATTTGATCCTCTCGTGACAATTTGCCATGGTGTACAGAACAGGAACCATAGATATGGCTGTACTGCATATTCCTAATTAATAAATATGGCTGTACTGATTATTCCCAATTAACAGATATGGCTGTACTGATTATTCCTAATTAAAAGATTTGGCTGTACTGCATATTCGTAATTAACTGATATGGCTGTACTGCATATTCCTAATTAAAAGATTTGGCTGTACTGCATATTCGTAATTAACTGATATGGCTGTACTGCATATTCCTAATTAACTGATATGGCTGTACTGATTATTCCTAATTAATAGATATGGCTGTACTGATTATTCCTAATTAACAGATATGGCTGTACTGGATATTCCTAATTAACTGATATGGCTGTACTGCTTATTCCTAATTAACTGATATGGCTGTACTGATTATTCCTAATTAATAGATATGGCTGTACTGATTATTCCTAATTAACTGATATGGCTGTACTGATTATTCGTAATTAACAGATATGGCTGTACTTCATATTCCTAATTAATAGATATGTCTGTACTTCATATTCCTAATAAATAGATATGGCTGTACTGCATATTCCTAATAATAGATATGACTGTACTGCATATTCCTAATAAATAGATATGGCTGTACTGCATATTCCTAATAATAGATATGGCTGTACTGCATATTCCTAATAATAGATATGACTGTACTGCATATTCCTAATAAATAGATATGGCTGTACTGCATATTCCTAATAATAGATATGGCTGTACTGCATATTCCTAATAATAGATATGGCTGTACTGCATATTCCTAATAATAGATATGACTGTACTGGATATTCCTAATAATAGATATGACTGTACTGGATATTCCTAATTAACAGATATGTAAGTTAATAGCTTTATATGTTCAATATTTTTGGATCAATGTGTTGACAGTTGACGATAAAATTTCATTACTGGCTTCATCTAACTATTGACTTAAATTTTCATCCCACAAAACAAATCAACATATACATAAAATATATGTCTACATACTCAATAGTCATTCGGATGGGACAAAAAAAACCCTAAAGTCCATCATTGGCATTTACTTAAAGAGAATCCATGATGATAGCAAATCGACGAAGAGAAGGTAGAAATTGTACACGTAACCACTAACCATAGGTAACCATCTGAAGGTCACCTTAACAAAATTCAGATATAACAAGACAGCGAAATTATATTAGTAGCATTAAGTACTGGAAGAGTAGTGATACATCTTGGACTACCTTTAACAGAACTATCACTATTAACGGTAGTTTGGACTAAGTACATACATGTAATTACATATATCGCGTTCCAATTAAGCCGCGTCAGCAGAACTAATTTCTCTCGTTAAAATGACGCTTGAATCAAATTGCAAGTCATATTTTGCAACTTGGGTAGAGAATTAGAAATGATACAAGCGTAGTTTTAGGGCCGATAGTCGTTCTTAAATTAGATCAAATAGGAACACAACTAAAAAACCCTTCCAAAGAGTTAACATACTAAAAAAAGCTGTGGATATACTGGAAAGAAAAAAACATATTTTTCAAAAAACAGAATAAAATATTTAACTACAATAGCCTATATATTTAAATTACATTTAGCGTTAAAAATAATACGACTAATTTAACAAAAAGTGTTTTTTATATTTTATAGAAGTTTTAACAAAAAGTTGTTCATATATTTTATAGAAGTTTTAACAAAAAGTGGTTTATATATTTTATAGAAGTTTTAACAAAAAGTGTTTTTTATATTTTATAGAAGTTTGTGGTTTATTTACAGTTTCTTTTCTACAACTACCCGAGAGTTTTCGACCTTCGTACATTTACTATAACAGGAAACACTGTAAACCAGGTATCATTTAATCTTGTGTATCTAGCACTAATTTCTTTAAAAATTTGTAAAAATCATTTAAAATCATCTAATTTAAACTTGTGTCCAGTTTAAAGCTGACGACCATTCAATTTTGATAATGAGTGTCCGATTAATCAGTCAGATTTAAACTGGACACAAGTATAAATTAGATGTTTTTAAAATGATTTTTATAAACAAAGATTTGATATTAAACGAGTGTGGAAGAATTTAGTGCTAGATACACAAGATTAAATGATACCCGGGTTACAGTGACAGTTGTCATTACTTTCCTTCAAGCCAATCAAAAGATGTCTTTGACAAATTAAATTTAAGATTAAATGATAAATCTGTTCCTTTTAACCTGTTCAGATCAAAGATCAAGGGAAACTATCTCTATCTCCAGGACACTACAATATAATGGGTATATATACAGCAACAAAACAAACTTGTGGGCTTTTAGCTCACTTTTAGTAGGATATTTATAATTTTATCACATTGTATAAATTCTGGGGCTGATTTCATAGGAATTGAAACTAATGAGTTTGGATTCTTTTACTTAAACATACATTATGCAA